TACAAACACACTCAACCACCTTATCTTTGATAAAGGAGCCAAGCAGGTTCACTGGAAGAACGACAGTCTCTTTAATAAATGGTGCTGGAAAAACTTGCTCTCCATTTGCCGAAAACTAAAGCTAGACCCATGTCTATCACCATGTACTAAATTAAAATCTAAATGGGTCAAAGATCTGAATATTAAAACAGAAATGCTAAATCTATTGGAAGACAAATTGGGTAGAAACCTTGGAGACATAGGAGTAGGTAGAGAATTCATGAATAGGACTCAAACTGCACGGGAAATACTTCCCAGAATCAATAACTGGGACCACTTCTTATTAAAAAGTTTTTGCATGTCAAAAGAAATCTCCAGCATAGTGAAAAGAAAACCCACAAACTGGGAAAAGATTTTAGTGAACTCTCTCTCAGACAAGGGACTCTTGTCTAAAACATATAAAGAATTAAAAAAACTCAGACCTCCAAAATTCAAAGATCCAATCCAAAAATGGGCATCTGAGATGAATATGCAATTCTCAGATGAAGAAATGCAAATGGCAAATAAATACATGAAAAAATGCTCATCATCATTGGTCATTAGAGAAATGCAAATTAAAACCACACTGAGATACCATCTCACTCCTGAAAGAATGGCCAGGATCAAGAAAACCAACAACAACAAATGTTGGAGAGGCTGTGGGAAAAAAGGAACTCTCCTGCACTGTTGGTGGGAGTGTAGACTGGTACAACCTTTGTGGAGGTCTGTCTGGAGGTTTCTCAAAAAGTTGGGATTGGAAATCCCATTTATTCCAGCTATTCCACTTCTAGGCATATTCCCAGAAGAACTGAAAGCATCATACCACAGGGATATATGTGCACCTATGTTTATAGCAGCACAATTTGTAATCGCCAGATCTTGGAAACAACCCAAGTGTCCATCAACTGAGGAATGGATAAAAAAGTTGTGGTATTTCTATACAATGGAGTATTATTCAGCTATAAAGAAGGATCGCATTGAGATATTTATCAATAAATGGGCGCAGCTTGAGACCATACTCATAAGTGAAATAAATCAATCTCGCATGTGTGAATACCAAATAGTTTCCCTAATGTAAGTAATGATTCAAATATATAAAAATATGTGATAATCATGATTCCCCATTATGTGGCCTTGAAGCCTTATAAAATTTTCACTTATTAATTAGAAAGGCTTTATTCTGGGCTTTTTGATATGGAAATATTTGAAGCTATAGTATATGAAGTTTTATCCAAATATTTTAAGGAAAAAGACAGACACTATGGTAACTACTATTCTTTAAAAAAATTATTTAGCTATTTCTTATGTTTATTTTAATTAAGGGAAAAATTTAAAAAATTAGGATATATAATAGTAACTCTTTTCGATCTCCTATTAACTTGTTTTGAAGTCCTGTAATACTCCCAAGATCTTGTTTTGACTGATTAGACTCTGTTCCATTCTGTGCGATAGTAGCAAGTCTGAGGGTATAGGCAACTAATTTGAAGGCAATAAGATTCACAAAGATGCCCATTCTGGTTTGACTATTGTCTCCTTTGGAAGTCCTGTAATGTTCACAATGCCTAAGGTTTATTGGTCTTGTTCTCCACTGTTTTGTCCAACTTTATAATATCTAATGAGATAGACAATTCCTTTTAAGGAAACAAGAGACAATGTTGATAACCATTGTTAATAACCTTGTACTCTGTTCTACATCATGTGCTATGTCTATCCTTGGTTTTGACTTACAACTTTGTTTTGCCATATTTGACTTTATTCTCTCCCCCCCCAAAAAAAGTAATAAGAACTAAGGAGTAATAAAATCCAAAATGTGTAAATTTTGTTGTAAAAAAGAGAGGGAGGAAAAAAAAAAGAGCTCTAACGGATATAACAGCAAGTGTGTTTAGGTGTGTTAAATAGCTGACTATATTAATGTTTTTGGATCATTGAACACAGCTGTTTGCAGTCTCTCTGTTTGAATATCTACTTTGTATTCTTTGATACTGTGATTTGAGCAACTATTTCCAAGATGATAATATGTAATCTATTAACAGGTGATTTCTTACTGTTATGTTTTTTTTTTGTAGTTCTGTATTATGTGTAACCTTACACTGCTTTGTTTTGTTTTGTGTTTTTCTCTTTTTCCTCTTAAATAAAAAAAAAAAAAGAAGAACCCCAGTGGGGTTCAGTGCCTGCTTGGAGGACACAAGCCCTGCAGCCTGCTGATCTCCAACAATCTGTTTGTTAACAAGTTAAAGGCGTTGCTTCAGGGATACATTCACGGTTCTGAGAGAGGAGACAAAGCCATCCGCTGCATGTCATGAATAATGATGCACAAGAAATAATCATATCTACTCTGTTGCTATATACTATTAATACTACCTCATTCTTTATTATCATCATTGTATTATATATTATAATACACAAGACATTAGCACATATTAATTTTCAAGTATTAATTAATATATTATTTAGAATACACTTAGAATATAAGTAAACGATGTAAATATACAATTAAATTCACTACCACAGCCAAAAGCCAGCATCATCAGTCACTGTCCCTACTCTTGGGTATGGTGACCCTCCCTTCAGCTCAGACCAGAGAAGAAAACACGTTATTATGAAAATATCCTCGAGTAGCAGTGACCTTTATACTTCACTCTTCACAGCCAGAGGACAAAATCCTTGCTCTCTCCCTATGTCTCACCTACTTCTAATATGCTGGTTCTACCTCAACTACCTCATCAAAGGAACTTCTGCTATGCTCAGTGTCTCCACATTGAAAAGAGACAGAAGGAAAAAAGCTTCAAGTTAGTACAGAACTGTCCCTGGAGAGAAAAGTCCTAATTGGGCATGTTGTCTCTCATTGACGTTTTAATGGGGAAACAGACAGTTCAGCGGGATGTGAGGCCAGCAGCACATTGTGTCCACAGCTTTTGTGATGCACAAGGTCTCGTTGGAATGTTCATGTCACCTCTCATCAGGAGCACTTGCTGGTTTCCTTGGTCTCATGAAAGGAAGGAAGTTGTTAGGCTCTCAGATCTGCACAGGCTGAAAGGCTGACCATCAGCCCGTCCTCCAGAGGGACATGGCTCATGTCATGCACTTTTTTTTGAGCCTCTGATGTATTTCTTCCCAAGTTTTGGAGAGGATGGAAATGCCAGAAACTGTTCAATTATTTAGTTTAGTTTGCTTGACTTAATATGTGCCACCCTGGTGTGTGCAATGGTAACTGAGGTACCACAGTCCTTATGATCAAATGAGTTTGGGAGATATGGCCTATTTCTCAGAGGCAGAAAGAGAATCGTGGGAGGGATGCTGAGGATGGCACAGGCCCTCATATTGGCCACACAAGTGCTCCAGCACTAACTACATGCCAGCCCTAGAAGAGCGTCTTCAACTTTCTTTAATCCAGCATTCGTGATTACTTAACTCTGACCCTTCCATACACAACATATACCCCACACACTATGGACAACTACGGGCAACATGCATGCACTACATATGCACACATCACATGCCACATCATGTGCCATACAAAGATACGGCACACACATGCAAACAAAAGTATACACATATTGCTTGAGATACTTGTTAATGCCACTGAATACAATTTGAAAACATCACTGTAAACTGAGATTGAAGTTTTTGATAATCACACTAGATTTACCGATTTTGAGTGTTCCGTGTAATACCATTTATGGGTAATTTCATTTTGTCATCATTGCTTTATTCACAGATTTTTGGAACCACCACCCTAGTCTGTTAACTTCAATGCCCTGTTGGTAGCAAACTGCTTTAGCCATGGACCTCTAGTTTTGCAAAGAATATTATTTGGAAACAGGTTGCCTCTATTCCTTGAACAACTTCTCCCAGTTTGAAAACTGGAGAATAAGATAGTTGCAAGTGAGATCTGCCTCCTTTCTTCTTTCCTTCACTCCTCCCTCCCTGCATCTCTGTCACTGTTTCCTTACCTTTATGCCTTTTTTCCTTTTCTTCTTCTCCCTCTTCAAAACTTCCCTGAAAATGCAGCATTTGTCAAAATTCACTACTTTTGCAACAATCAGACTTTTAAATGCCACACCATCTCCATCCAACAAATTACGTGTTATGTTATTTATTACGTGTTAATAAATCATGCATGAATGATACTAACATTGTCAAAGAAGTACATCACAATTGTCTTAACTCTGAATTTTTGATGAGACATTGTCTTTGGACTTGCAAATGTCTTCATTCTCCTAGAGACTTTGACACTTTTCCCTTCTTCTCCAGTTCATAAGGCAACATCAGGCACCACCATCAGTTTTAATTTTCTCAAAAACTAGCTTGTTCCCACTCTTTACCATTCAGAAGAATATTTCAAATCTGCATTTTCCATTATCTTTTAAAATATGAGACATAATCTTCACATTTTCATAGGTTTTGATGAACAGTTTTGTTAAAGCTCAATGTTTTCATCTCAACAATTTTATCACAAATTGTCACTTACTCAAAGGGTCCACACCTTTGTCTGCTGGCACCTCAAGGGGACCCAGCAGTTGGGCTGGCACCTTCATATCTAACTTCTGTCATCCTTGAATTTCTCAAGCCTAGAAAACTCTCACTGATCAAATGAAATCATGATTTAAAGCTTCTTTGAACATACTTAAACTCATTTTAACTATAAAAATGTTTCATTTTTGTTACTACCTTTCAGGTCAGTAAGATTCTGCATGGACACCAATTTGATAATGGCACCATGTCGTCCAAAAATTTATTTTTCATTTTTTGTTTATATAAAAAAAGCAAAACAGAAAAACATGGTAAGTATAATGTAGAATTTCAAAAAAGAAATAACACTAAGGAATCACTAGTTGATAAATTACATATTGTTATCTTAGAAGTAGTTTTGGTAGTGTAATTGCAACCATTTAAAACCTGACAGAAACAGAACATAAGAAGCAGATTTACAGGGATGAGACTGTGATAAAATAGGGTTCCTGCTCTGTGAATGTGGCAGGATGGACTCTAGGTGACAAGAGGTGGATATCCATGGGGTTGTACAAGGCAAGGGAGGCACACAGGAAACAACACAACCTCTCTTCTGAAAATTCTGCCAGGTCACTACCTTGAGGCCCCTCATAAAACCATTTCTTCATTACCAATTTTTAGAACACAACTCATTCCCTAACTGAAGATGAACTTGCAGAGGGCAAGCTTCATGAGGCCTCTGTTGTTGTGTTTGGGAGATGGCAAGCCAGATGTGGTGCAAAGCATCTGCTTGAGTGCAACTGGAATCAGGGGCTGAATGTGGAGAATTGGCACCTGTAAGAAAGGACCTCCTCATTCCAGATGGTCAAGTGCATCAACATCAGGATATAGAAGTGGCTGAACCACTCCCTGGGCATGACTACACTTGTCAGGAAGAACCATCTGGCCTGACACCTGCAGTACATGAAGAGAAGGTATGTGTATCCCTTTAGGAATTCACCTTCTCAATCCTTGTCATGACCATCAACTATACTGACTTCATGCCTGAATATTCAAAGAGAAGCAGACACCAGAGATAAAGCACTACTCCTGGATTTGCAAGCTGGTAGAATTATCTCATGAGAGTGCTGTAATAATTTTCAGCAACATTAGAGATCTAATCTTTGATGGCATATATAAATTCTGGAAATATATCTGCAACACTTTAGTTTTTGGTAGAGGCTTTAAGCCTTTGACCACTTGTATATGTCATGAAAGGTTAGTTCTGCTTGCCACAGAATACTTGACCATCACTAAGTTGCAAAACTGTTACACCCATCTGACCAGCAGTAGCACCAGTAAATCTGGAGCATCCTATAAGTAGATCAAAGAGGTGGTTGATCATGGCTGCAAGTGGACTCTCAGCCAGTTGGGATGTGGATTACCCTCTGCTGTAGCATCAAATCCATCCTGTGATTATTCTCATCATCCTCATCACCTTCATCACCAGTGCTCTTCACTGCCAATTGCATCGAGCTCTTTTGGTTTGATATTTTGATTGATGAGAACTTGAAACCATGCTTTTAGAAGTCAACTAAACTCCACTTAGCCCTTCTGTTGTTCGACAGATGTATTAGTGAAGAGAAAACTTGTCCTTGATATTACTGAATCTGTTTGCTTAAATGATCTGATAAATGAAGAGAAGGAATGTAGTAAAAATGGAAATTCTAATGTCTCTTTTTCCAATATTTGTCACTGGCTCAGCAGTGTGAGTAACTCTTTCCCCTATGAGTATCTAGTGCAATTCACAGGCAGGGCACACAGTAAGAAGGACCCTGCTATGGAGAAAGTGTTAAGAACTCATCCTGAATGCACACACACCTTCCAACTGAGACAAATACTGTCAGGCAGGGCTCATTTCTATCACAAAGAGAGACATCCAAAACCAAACCAAAGCTACAGGCAGACACACCCCTATAGGGCATTTACCCCCTACATTTCATGCATTCGGTCATGACCTTGCAGGACAAAGATTACCCTCAGTATCTTGTCAGGTTCTGGCTGATCCCCAAGCAGGCAACTTTGTTCACATTTTTCCTTTCAATTAAGCTACCTTTGAGCTTTCAAAAATGAACTAAATATCAAAAGATAATCCAAGATCTCCAGAGACTAGTAAATACATAAGTTCCCAAAGCAAAAAGTAAAACCAAGAGAAGGTGACATGGACTTTTGAAAACCAAGTATTCCTGCCCCAGAGAGAAACAGAACAAGCCCATACTACATCCTTCAGCATTTGACCATATCATGGGAACTAAAGGTGTGGCAGCAGATATAAAGACAATTCTAATAAGTGTAATTTGCTCAGATGTCTTGGAAGAACCCAGCTCTTTCCTTACATGTAAACATGCTATATTACAATTATGATACATATATTATGACATGAGAAAAGAGCATTATAACTTCTTAAAGGAATATTAGGTGAAAACAGTACAAAAAACCTAGGAATTAATGATTTGGTATTTAATTAATCATTTTTTGTCAAAACTATTTTGTCAACCACATGAGCAGTCATTGAGAGTGAGATAAATTACTAGAAACCTAAATGGCTATGTCATTCATAGGTCCTCGGCCCTAATCAGACCTGTGGCAGGTTGCTCCCCAATAGGCATCCACCAGTCACCTTAAAGAGTTTCGCATCTTGGGTAATTATGTTACTGATGACCATTCCAGCACGTACATGCTATCACTCCTAAATGGTTAAAAACTATCTGAAAATCCCTGGTTACATAAAGAGCACTTGAAAATACTATGCTAAGGGAAAGCAGTCTGGCATAGAAGGCCATGGGTGACATGGTTCCATTGTCATAAAATTTCCAGAGACGGAAACTCATAGAAAGCGTGTTGTTTGGTTCCAGTGGCCAAGGAAGGGGAAACAGGGATGGGGAATAGGCAGGCATTTCCTTTTAGGGTGATGAAATGTTCTGGTGCTAGACAGTGGTGATGACTGCATCACATTGCGAATGCACTGTTCTTGATGGCATGTGTGTGCTTTGCTTCAATAAAAGGAATTAAAAGAATTCAGAAAGAAAAAGACATCAAAAAGTACAAAGATCAGCAAGATGATAGAATAGATTTCGGTAAGCAGGCGTGGCTCGGGCAAGTGTAGGCCACCCCAGGGAGAGAACCAGCCAGCACCTCCCAAGATCCGAGCCATGATGGAACTTAGGGTGCTGGGAAACTAAGCAACCTGCTCGCCTCCCTGGTAAGCAATACTGAGCCTACGGTGCATGAGCTGAAAGCCAATCATCCCACTTCCCCTGCCCCCCCCCCATTAGCAAATGGGAGCCAGAGATCTGAGCATCTCTTGGGAGGTTGACCATATGCAATATAGCAAATAGGGGGAATATCCTTCTACCATCTCTTTGAAGGCAAATACTGGTATCACTGTTTTGCTTTGTTCTGATTAATTATATTGCTCTATTCAATATTCTGTTTTGATAAGTTCTATAATGTTGTGTATTTGGTTTGATTTTGCTATACCTGATTGAAATAACAGCTATTGTGAAGATAATAAGATGCACTATGGTACCTATTACTGTTATCCCAGTAACCTGCTGTGACGTTCTGTACCAATTTCACTGCACTGTCTCAGTTGGCTTCATTCTGTCTTGTTCTGTTGTATTTTACTACCTTCAAAATAATTTAAAAATTAAAAAAAATAAGAGGCTTCCACTCATGTCTCCCTACAACAATTTTTCAGCCTTTCATGGACAAATATGTTGTATTTGTCAGATCTCCCATTACTGAGACAATCCCCAGAGACCCACAATTTAAAGGAGGAAGGGTTTAGTTTAACTTAGTTTCAGGAGATTCAGTAAATAATTGACTGGCTCCAAACAGGAACCTCATGGGGGAAGGGTATGGAAGAAGAAAGCTGCTCTGGAAAGCAGAGCAGGCAAGCAAGACTAGAGAGGAAGGGGCCAGAGACCATATATAGTACCGAAGGTCATGGTTCAGATTACCTATGTTCTGGAGAGTGCTCTACTAATCTGCCAAATGTTTCTTAATCCAATGGAGTTGAAATATTTGGATGAACATTTACATATGGCTCAGTGGAAACCTTGGGATTCAATATGGAGTGTGTGAGAAGCCAAATGAGCTCAAGACCCAAGAGGTCATTTTGAGAGAGTGCACCATTTGACTGTGGTCCTAGGTCCAGATCCAGAAATAGCCCTAAATGGTGTGACTTCACCTCTGTCTGGCCTCCACTGCTACTGAACTATTGCCAAGGGGCCCAGGCAGAATTGTGGATGCGAGTGCCTAGGTATGCAGATTGTGACATAGGGCCAGTAGCTGAATCTTAACCAGTAGCTAGGATTAGCTGTGATTCAGATTAACTTGCTCACACAGGACCAGGAGGAAAGCTCACTTATTGTATGTACCTGTTGGAACCTTGCAGGTATGTATCCCAGGGGATGTTTCCCAGTGGCTCCAGCTTCCTGGATGCCCTCCAGGAAGAACCAGGGACCCTGTGAGCTCCTGGGAGACTTGCCCATGAGCTACTGCAACAGGCTTGCAGCTTCTGTCCCCCTGAAAGGTCCTGCTGCTCAGCTCCAGCCTCCCTGCTATGGGCCAAGAAATAATCCTGCCTGAATAGAGAATCAATGTGAGTTTTACAACCAGTGAACTTGGTCGCACAGATCCTAAAACATCCTTAGAGCTCAGTTCCAATTCCTGCTGGCTATGATGTAGGGGCAGGTCTGCCTGCCAGAGGCCTCTCCAGAGACACATCCGTCTGAACGTAGGCAGGGTTGCCACATCCTGCCCCATGCAGATCTCTGAAAGGAGCTGGATCTCAGTCCCTGCCTCTCTCATCTGCAGCTGGAGCATAGTTTTTTTGTTTTTTGGGGGATTTTTTTGGCCAGCGACCTGGAGGGATACATATAGCAGTACTAGTGCAGACACCAACCGTGGCTGGTGTCATTGTAGTCGTGAAATTTCCCTACGCGTTGGCTGTAGCCTTTCTCAACTGAAGTGGCCTGAGAGCAGGTGTGTCTAACCAGGACCCCACTGTCAATGTGCCAGTCCCTCTACTCAGTAAACCCTCTCTATTCAGTAAACCCTCTACTCAGAGTAAGCTCTATGGGTCAGAATTTTTGAGGCAATTCAGCCTATCCAGGGACAAAGAAGACCCATGCCCACTAGAGCTCCAGGTAATAGAACCACAAAAAGCAGTTTCCAATGTGGACCAGCATCAGCCAAGACCAAGATCCAACGCATTCAGTCTGGACCCCAGAGACAATTCCAGCAGCCCAGAGACCTAATGTGAGAAAAAAATTCTTCAATCCACAAATGTAAATTTTTAATTTAAATTTGCAGTTTATTCCTTCAAATGCATAGACACAAATGAAACCTACTCAGGACAACAAAGGAACAAGTCAACATTTCACCACAAAGGAAACAAATTCTAATAACAAACCCTAAAGAAACAGACGTATATAAAAGCACCTGCAGAAAAGTTCAAAATAATCATAAATAGCTAAGAGCTAATAGAGATATAAGAAATAATAACTAATAGGGATGTAAGAAAATCCAATAGACACCTAAATGAAATTGGAAAACAATACACAAAACAAATTAAAACTTTAATAAGTAAATAAAAACCAATAAAAGGAACCAGCCCAAAATTCTGAAAGAAGAAAAATATAATGGTAGAAGAAAAAAATTTACTACAGAGCTTTAATAGCATACTTGGTCATTTAGGGGAATTAACAAACTGTACAACAGGCTAATTGACATTATCCAGTTGGAAAAACAAAAAGAAAAAAAGACTGAAAAGAGATGATGAAAGCATAAAGGATCGATGGAACATGATCAAGGATATGAATGTGTGGACAAGGAGAGTGCCCCCAGGGAAAGAGGAAGCTGTAGAAAGTGTATTTAATGAAATACTATCTGGAAAGTCCCTAAATTTGGGGATGAGTGTGGAAACTCAAAGGACTGCCAGATAAATTTAAAAAACAATACTTTGAAACACATCCTACTCAAACTGACAAAAGCCAAATACAAAGAATCTTGAAAGCAACGACAGAAAAAACTCATCACCCAGGAAGGAACCTCAGGAAATCCATCCATGGACTCTCAACAGGAACCCTGTAAACCAAGAAGGAAGACTGCTTTTGAAAATTTCAACCAACAATATCACATCTAGGAAACTGCTCTTCAGGAGTGAAGGAGAATGATTACTTTAAATGTAAATATTTAAATTTTCTAATCAAAAGATACAGAGTATATAGTGGATTTTTAAAATGAAGTTTATTGATATATTTCAGATATACATAATGATCACCTTCAATGTAAGGAGTTTGTGCCTGTACATGATATACCTTGATTCTTCTTTTTCCTTTATTCCCCTCCCTTCCCCTCATCCCCTCTTCCCCTCATTATTTACAAAATCTTGTTTCAATTTTTTCCTTCTGTTCCCTTTCCCTTCCTTGATTCACCCACCCCCTTATTTCTCCTTTCCATTTGAACATTTTCTTACTATTCCACAACATCTATTATACATTTGGGTCCTTATTTACACTTTTGGTTTCTCACACCAGAGAAACAATGTGATTCTTGCATAAGTGTGTCTGATTTATTTCACTTAAGAGTATAGTCTCAAGGTCTATCCATTTATCTCGAAATGTCTCAAATATATCTTTCTTCGTGGCTGGGTAGTATTCTACTATATAAAAGAAAACCCATGACTTCTTTACTAATTCATCTGAGGATGGGCATTTGGGCTGTTTCCAAGATTAGCTATCACAAACTGTTCTGCCATCAACATGGGTGTGCACATGTATATTAAAAATGCAACATGATGCAGCTCACAATAGACTCACCTTAGTCTTAAGAGCACACATAGACTGCAACGGATGATGTAAGATACTCCAGGCATGTGGCTGAGAGGAATACTGAGAGAGTGGTTTACAAAGGAAAGAGGTTTATTTTGGCTCATGGTCCTAGAGACTGGGAAGTCCCAGAGCCTGAGCATATCGCTGGCATCTTCCCTGCTTCTGGGAAGTCCTCTGCTGCTTCAAATAGTGGAAGAAAACAGAAGGCAGGTGGGCACATGTGAATTCCCACAATAGGTGCATCCTTGCCCTGAGAACTGCTCTGGTGTACTCAGGAGGCTTTTGTCCATAGTCTGAACACCTCATGCCAGGCCCACCTCTTACAAATGCATGCAAATTTAACAGCTAATCAATGGGCCAAAGTATAAATAAAAAGGGAAATTTCATAGTGGTTTTTGTTGTCTTTTTGAGATAGGCTCTCATTATACAGTTCAGGCTGGCCTTGAACTCACTTTGTAGCTGAGGCTGGCCTCAAACTCACAGCAATCCTCCTGCCTCAGCTTCCTTAGTGCTGGGAATTCAGGCATGAACCACCATACTCAGTTAAAGTATCTTCAGATAATAAAACTGGAAACATAATGTACCAAAACTTATAGGATATAGCAAGAGAAGTTCTAAGAATTTTTTAGTGATGTATTAGGGTTCACCGGATGAACAAAATTGGTGCAAATTATATGTACAGCTATACAAGGGATTTTTTAAGTAGACTTACAGGTTCAGACAGGCAAGAGTCTAAATATCTGTCCGAGAATGAGAAGCAGAAAAATCCAAAATAGCTGTTTGCACAACAGAGAGCCGAGGATACTCTAGCGGATCAGGAACACGGTGCAAGACCTGGAAGCTTGCTGCAGAGTCACAGTATGAGTGGATTAGAAAGCCAGAGAGCTTGCATTGGAAAGCTGAAGAATCTGCACTGGAAGCCCATAGAACTGGAGAAGAACATTCAAAGGTGAAGAACGGAGCTCTTCAAAAGAGGGGCATACTTCCTTCCCTCTTTATTCTGTCCGTGCTGCTAGCCCATTGGTTGTTGCCACCCCCATCTGGGGTGATGGTTCTCTCCTTTGTTTGCAGCCTCCATGTCAATCATCCAAAGACACATTCAGAGCTTTACTGATCTGTTAGTCAGGACTTCCTCAGGTTGATATAGTACAGTTAACGATCATAAAAATAAACAGCTACGTGAGGAAAGAAGACCTCAAATAAATCATACTATATACCCCATGGAAGTTTGAAAAAAGAAAACTAAGCCTAAAGTTGGTAAAAGGAAGATAACAATAAAGATCAGAGCAGAAATAAATAAAATAGAGACTAGAAAAACTATAAGAGAGATAAAGAAAATGAAGAGGTAGATTTTTAAAAAAATTACTTTATTAAAATTCTAAATGTTGAGGGCTGGGGATTTAGTTCAGTGGCTCAAGTGCTTGCCTGGTAAGTGTAAGGTTGTGAGTTCAATCCCTGGTATAAATAAATAAATAAATAAATAAATAAATAAAAGTAAAAGTCTGCATGCCACACAGTCAAAACACTGATAAAAAAATCCAAATGTTGATTGATGAGACAGACAAAACATAAGGCAGTGCCAAGCATCTGACACTAAAGGGAAGATTTCCTCTCTCTGTGTATACCATATCTCCCCTCAGCGCTGGATTTTTGTATCAACGTGTCATGTTTTGTGTGTGCACATACAAATGTATCTAAATGTTTTCCAAACATTGTCTACTTTTTGTTGGTATACATTAATTGTGCAAATAGTGGTTTTCAAAGTGATGTTTTCATACACGCATATAAGGTACTTTGATGAGACTCACACTCTATTACCCTCTCTTACCTCCCTTCCTCTACTTGATCCCCTTACAAAGAATTGGGTTTTGTTCTTCTTCTTGTTTTGTTCTTTTTTAAAAGAGGATAAACCAAATCAATAAACTTTTAGCTGGATTTAGATAAAAAGAAAACTCAAATGAATAAAAGCAAAAATGAGTCAATACAACTGAGCTACAGAAATAACACAAAAAATTATTAAACTGCTATGAATGAAGTGAATAACCTAAAAGAAATGGATAAATCCTAAACACAGACAGCCTGCCAACACAGAATCATAGGAAATAGAAAACCTAAACAAGCCAGCGAGTAAGGAGAGGTTAGTAATAAATTCTTCCATCAAATAAATACCCAGGGCCTGATGTTTCACTGCTATATTCTGCTGATCTATGGCAGGAAATAACCAAGGAAAGGGTTAGGGAAAGAAGAGAAGATCCACTTCCTGGGCTAAACCTGAGACATGATGGTTTATGGAACCAGTCATAGAAATGACTGGTTCACGTTGGAGCATACTTTCTGGGATTACATTTGCTTTCTGAGTTAAGCCTTAGCCCAGGACCAGGATGCCCAGGAATAAACACAATGGCAAAATGTAACTAAGTTACTTAGCTCATACAAATAAATCCCTGTGCGTGTGCCTCCTGGTCTTCTGCAGCCCTTGGCTGACCTCAACCCTAGTTACCATGTCACTGCTGATGAAAATTCGACCCCTTGAGGACTTTAGATTCCTTGACAGATCCCCTAAGGCTCATAAAAGATTTAAAACTCTACCAGCCCACACAGCAGTTGAGTCAAGCTGCTCCCTGGCAGGAGTCATATCTCAGTCAAAACCCTCAATTTTACTCAAATCCTAAAGCTTAAAGCTTTCAACACCAAGCCCCTTTGGTGCCATGAACTATTCTCATGGCCCACTCCCACTCTGGGAGTGAATCCCGTCTTTCTCTTTAAATTAAATCATTGATCTTGTTAGTACTCTTGGGTGTCCTGATTATTCCTTTGTTTAGGACATCAAGAACCTGAACATGACTCCCAGCGCAGTAACAAAACTAAGATCAGTTTTCAAAATCATCCAAAACACTGAAGCAGAGAGGACATTTCCAAATTTATTTTGCTAGGGCAACACTACAAGAGAAGAATAAGTCAATATCCCTGATGACCATAGATCAAAAGTCCTCCCAATAAACTAGCAAACCACAGATCCACAAAAGGTTGTGTCATTTGTGGCAGTGCAGCTGTGACCTGCTCCTAGGCTGGTGGTATGCCGCGCGATACTCTCTGTTGCTGGCCTGGAGCACAGAACCACACTTGTCAATTAGCCACTGGATCACCAGGAAAACAACTAGTAATCCAGTGTACTATGTTCCAAAGCTATGATATTTATTTAGAAGGTTAGTATTAGATTAAAAAAATACAGTTCTCATTCTTTAGCTAGTCTAAATGTTTTTCAGTGTTATTCTTTTATGCAGTCCAAGAAATAAACAAGAGGGTCAGGGATATAACAGCGCCTGTCTGACAAGCACAAAGTTTTGAGTTTGATCCGTGGTACAAAAAAAGAAAAAAGAAAAACATGAATACAAGAATAAAAACTAGAACAATACATAAAACAATTATATAGATAATTCTAGGGAGGAATAAAATTAATTATAAATGAATTAATAAATATTATAAAGTAGGTATAGGAATGTAAGAAGTTAAGCAATAATCTTAATTGTTTGATTTTGCCTTTTATGTAAGGTGTTTTTTAAAAGCATCAGCCATGCTAATTTTATAACTGCATTTTTAATGAATTTATTCTGGTCAGAATCAATCTTTAAGTGCTCAAGGGAAAGTCACATCGAAAGTAAATTTAATAAATTGAGAATTAAACAAATTACTCCTTTCTGAGTGCAGCCCCCATGTTCCCAGCTCCTCTGACTTTGAAGGTAAGATATTTGAAGGTAAAATATTTAGGGTGTATTTTTGCTTTCTGAGGCAGCTTCTATCTGAGCACCCTGAGAAAGTGGGAGTTGGAAAGTCCAAGTCATGGGTAGAGAAGACTGACAGCACCTCCGGTGTGCCTGAGCTGCTGAGGATTGGACCAGTAACAAGTTTGCAGGGACATGATTTGGGAATTGCTCAGAGGGGTTCAGGGCCAGGAGCACTTGGGGAGACCTATCCGAGGTGTAGTGCATTGACCCAAGCTAGCTTTCCAGAAGGGTAATGGCTGCAACAACCTCTGAAGGACAAAGTGGTGACCTTGATGCCATAAGCTGATCCGGGAGACTTCTGTGTGGAGAGGGATTACGAAAATAGGCTGTGGAGAGTAACAAGAGGGGAGTTCAGAGGGGCCACTGGGCCAGACGATCATGAGGTCAAGATGTCATGCTCCAAAGAGGGACCTGTCTTTTAGGAGGCCATGAATCCACTGAGGGAGAAGCTTGACTGAGCACCTGGGTAGCTCAGAAGCAGTGTCCTGGGCTAAGGATGGCAGTGATGGGTGTGTCACCAGCCCGTCCTCTTTCATCCCACAGGGTGAAATGTCAAATGTCTAGAAAAATGAAGCAAGGGACAGGTGAGTGGCTTTTCCAAGCTCACCATGAGCAGTGGCCCAGATGGGACCAGCTGGGGGTCCTTTGCCTCCTTATTTACTGTCCCTCCCTCAACAGTCTGGCTGACTTTACCCACTTCCCAGCCCTGTGCACTCTGTTTCATGATTTCCTTAAGTGTTCATCCCTTCTTTGACCAACCACATATACTTAGGTGCTGCTTGCAAATATAGGGATCTCTGCCCCTCAAAATTTGCATTATGCATAATATCAGTCATTCATGTCTGTGAGTTCTGCCTCGCAGTAGACCAACCGCAGACTGAAAATATTTTAAAAAATTTTTTATCTCTATTGAATACATAAAGACTTTTCCTTGTTATCATTCCCTCAGCAATATTGACAACTATTTCCACAGCACTTACATCGTCTTACAGGTCTTACAGGTGATGATTGAAAGTATATGGAGAATGTACTTAGATAATATGTAAATACAGTGATATTTTCTAAAGAATGTGGCATCTATGGACTCTGGTATCTGAGGGAAGTCCTGAACCCAGTTCCCTACAGATTCTAGATGTATAAGTCTGCTTTCCAACAGGCTAAGGGACACCTGAGATAATCAGCTTACAAAGAGAAAGGTTTGTGTTGGTCCATAGTTGGAGAAGTTTCAGTCTGTAGTTGCTTGGTCCTTTCCTCTGGAGGTGGTGATAAGACAGTGATGGGGTGCACATCATGCTGATGACACATGGCATAACCACTCAGCTTGTGTTCAGGAAGGAGGAAGAAGCAGCTTTGGGGTCCCACTGTCCCCTTCAAGGCACATTCCCCTGACCCACGGACCTCTCACCAGCTGCTGCCTCCCAGGCTACACTTCCCATTAACACCATTTCCAAGTTTTTAACCACAAAGGCCTTTGGATCATTTAAGGTCCAAATTGTAGCACCAAAGTAAAATTGTGTGATCAGACTGTCGGTGCAATGATTGTAGGAGAGTGTAAAAACTAAAGTAAGCTGGTTTCTAACGTGCCAGAATTCATGTCCAAACAGGGCCTCCAGCATACGCGTGTACTGAGGCCATCTTGTTTCAATGAAGATGTTGCATACCTCATTACTATAGACAGGCACTGCACATTACACACAATGCCAGGCAAGGCATCGTACGGAATGTGGCTTACTTGTACTTTGGCTTCTTCCTCTGACCTCCAACAGACAATTAGAAGTCAGATTTCAGTGGAATATACTTTGGTTGCTTTAATGATAATTTTTATATAAGATGATTTTAAGATTCATAGCAATAAGCAAGTCTATTTTTTTTTCCAGCTGAACTTAGAGTGGGTTTTCAGTCATGGCCACTTATGTCTGACAATGTCCTTGCTTTAGTACATTTATCTTGAAAGACCAGGCTTTCCTTCAGGGTAATTATAGTAAAATTCTTTCTTTTCCCGTCAAAGGCAAGACAGTGCATTAGTCTTGAGCTATTTAAACAGTAATACCAAAATACTGAGGACAATAATGTAGGTACAACATACATTAGGGTAAGAATAATCACTGGCACTAGTGTTTTATGTGCTTCACATAAAAATATTTTCAAAAATCAAATAAACATACATCTTAGAAGGTTTTTAAGAATTATTCCTTTTTTATCTTTTTAGTATTCTATACTTTAGTATAAATTTGTTTTAAGTATAAAATCTTGGTGAAAGGTAATGTGCTTTTTGTATTTTCTATACAGCCTGCAAAACAAAAGAAATAGCTGGTCATTGTGTTGACAGTGGAATTAAAAAATCAAGAACTTCAGAAAAAGTCAGGAATTTCAGGAAATGGTTTGCTTTCTGGGCAGCAGCCACAATACCTACATTCTTCAAATCCTAAGTTAGACTCCCTGGGTCACTGGTCATGACTATTGGGCTGAGAAAGCGCATGGGTGTGGATAGAGGGAGGATCACGGCAGAAATAGGTCAGGTTGAACCTGGATGATGCTGAGGTATGGGCAGACCAGAGCCAAAAAGACTCAGCCTGGTTTACAAATGCTTCCTAGAAGCAGGCAGCTGAGATTGGCTTTTTTCCCACATCAGTGATCTCAAGTGGTAGAGTGTAAGGCCCTAGAAGACAAGATTTTGTGAGCCTTTCATATACCTAGTGCTACTCTGATCACGTTCCCTACACAGACTTTTCCTTACAATTTCTAGTGGCTAAAGACGCCAAAGGTTTGGGGCTTTCCAAGATCACATGGGGGCAACTAATGTATTAGTTTTTGTCTCCGTCTTTGCAAAAGCTGTCACTGAAGTTTCATGAACGAGTACAAGGGGTGTTTTATTTCTGCTTCTGATCCAGGATGACTTTTCCAGTCTGGTCTTTGACCTTGACCCTCCCTGAACTGTACTTGGTCTCCTGGCAGCCATTGCAATACACAGTCTTGGTGGTACCATCAGGAAATTCCCTCCTCTTGAACTGGGTCGTTTGGATTTCTTTCTGCCCATTACTGAACACGATGGTTTTGTCGCCATTCCTGGTAGAGGAGAAACACTCTGGTCAGACAGGGTGTGCCATATCCAGTTCTGTGAAAATGGAGCAGGTAGGGATGAGAGACATCAGTGCCTGGAGAGAAGGACACAGCTGTGCAGAGCAAGGACAAGAATGGTGCTGAGGGCTCAAGGACTGATGGGAACCTTTGATGGCTGAGGACATGTAGGTGGGGCAGGAGGGAGATACGCTGTGGAAGCAGCTGGGTCTATTACTGAACCCACAGTGACAGCTTGAGGTGGAGCTGAACAGAGACATGGTTGGCATGCAGAGTGCCATGAAAGGATAAAGAAAACGCCACCACGTGAGAGGAAATATCTGGCTGCCCACAGTGGAGTTAATGCAGCTCTAAAGCAGAGAGAGACTGAGCCCTCAAGCTGCAAAACTGAAGGCACAGAAAAGACAGAAGCCAGCAAGTTACACCACCATGGTATCGTGGCCAGGTGGAACTTGGGCGAAGAGCAGGGTGACCTGTGTCCAACCCACTCAGGTTGTCAGACATCACAGACCTCACATCTTTCTCTGCTCACCTTAGTATCAAGACCAAATCCTACCAGCACTTTCTGGTGTGTCCTATGTATTTGTTTATGTAGGTTCTACAGACTTGGATTCCTGGATTACGTGGAAGACTGGGCTCCTCCTTCTAGTGCAATTCAAGCCCAGCCAACCTCACTGAGTTAAAGCAGTGTGTAATTTAACGACAGGGACACATTCTGGGAAATGCATTGTTAGGTGATTTCAAAACCAGCTAAGATGACTACAATGACATTAGATGATGTGATCTCCTGGAACCACCATCTCATGTGTCCCTGTTGCCAAATGAAACATTATTGTGTGGCACAAGATTGTCCCTAAATTAATGTTTAAACCTATATTCTGCATAAAGAGATTCAAATCACTCACAAGGCAAACATTGTAGAGTCAGTGGTATTATTTTCTGCTATTATTTTTAAATAAATACTTAAACTCACAAAAATTTCAAATTAATATGAAGAAATTATCAAATATATAAAATCAAAAGTTGGGGATGATTTGGACTCATACTATGTGATATAGTACCAACCTTTTAATGTGTAGGATTGTCCCATCAGGAAACACAGTCTCCTCACATCCATGGTTGAGCCTGGTAACTGTTCCATCTGGAAACACAGTTTCTTTGGAGCCATCAGGGTAGTATTTTTCTGTAGAATACAATTTTTAGAAAAGCATCTTACACTGAAAGTGTTTAGAAACCACATTATATCTCAATGATCTATCTGAGATTTGTAGAAAGAATATTTCTTAGGCATCTGAGTCTATAAATTTGAATTGCCACATATTCTATGAAATTTTCAGGTCAACTTGACATTTAGATGAATTAATACTTTAGTGTGAGTATACACAATTGCTCATTTACAGTGACATGAGTTATGATTTCTCAACCTTATGATTACAGAAAAGTGGCATGTATCCAGTAGAAACTGTTACGGCTTGTATCTAGATGCTTCCTCAGAGCCCCATGTGGTCATAGGCGGGGTTTTTTAGAGGCTCCTGGTTCAAGAGGGTGGATGCTGGGTTTAAATTGCACAATGCTGGGATTAAAAGTGCGTGCTTAGTCCACTGATTGGTTAAGCATAGTTCTGGGTTATGGTTATGGGTAATAGGAAAGCTCACCCAGACTGTAAGTGGCACCACCCGAAAGGTGGGTGGCATGAAGGAGTAAGGAGAGGCTTCTGCCTTGCTGCGTGGCGCTGCTTCTAGGGACGGTGCTTGCTGCTTTGTGGTTCTTGCCTGCCTGCCACAAACTGTTTTTCCTCTGCGTTGTTCCTCTGTATGCCACCCTGCCTTGAAGCTAGATAGTTATGAATTGAAACTTCCACAAACTATGAACTATAGTAAACCTTTTATCTTTCAATTCTGGGTGTATGGTATTTTGTCTTAGCAACAAGAAATATCTAAGAAACTATGCAGTTGGAGTTTTGGTCTTTTCCCGTGTTCATGACATGCAACTCCACCCTAGCCAAGGAACCACGAGCTGCAGCCCTCAGATGCTGGACCACTACTGGGGGGGGGGGCACCTTGTACACTACAGTGCACTGTGACATGGTTATGTTTAGTGTCTGGGTGTATTACATGCATTTTTAGCTTACAATATTTTCAACCAATAGTGGATTTCTGGGATGGAATGCCATCAAACACCAGGGAATATTTATTTGCCCCAAATATTATATGAAACATGCTTATACCATAAAATTATTTATTGTTTACCTGATATTCAAGCATAAATGAGCATATGATCACTGTTTGCTGAATAAGGCAACCCAAGTTCAAGGATTTAAATATTATATGAAAGCAGTTAGAAAAACACCTGTATAAACAACAGGAGTATACTTGGCTGCTTTTCACTGTGTTAGCCAGGACATAGCATGCACAGATATCTTTGCACATCCATAAATTTCTCTATCTAAACTGCTCAAATATATTTTATGGTGATTCACTCTACTACAACTTGATTGTTTATGTCTCCCCAAAGTTTATGTGTTGAAGCTCACTCCAGAGCAATGGTGTTAAGAGATGGTGCCTTGGGGAGGTGACTAGATCTGGAGGGAGGCCCCTTCCCCAGAGGATTTAGTGGTCTTATTCAAGAGAGCTCCCTGTCCTGCCACGAGGGAAAGCACCATCAATACATCCTCATCAGACTCCAAGCTGAGACAGTGTTTATCAGCTGCCTGGTTCATGGACATCCTCCCAACATTGCTCAAATGAACTGCTGGTCTAAGATATTTCTATTACTTCTCTTTGCTCTCTACTCCCTAAATCCTACACTTGAGGTCCAGGTACCTTATTAGGCCCATAGCTGGCAATCAGGCCTCTGGGAGCTTTTGACCTTCACTGTTGAAAACACGTGCTTTTACCTCTTCATCTTGACTTGTTTTGTCAACTGTTAGCAGTTGCTGGCAGACAAGTGGCAGAAAAACCAATATGAAGAATCTGATAACTGAAGGAAAATTCCGCCTCTTAAAATAACTGTTAGCACAAACTGTAAAAGATTGTTCCTAAGTAGAGTTATTAGTGGAACACCCTGCAGAAGTTGCAGGCTCTTCATTGGCCAATATTTTGACACTCACTGACTGCCTGGCACATAATCAATATACAATATGTCTTTACTGATTTGTATGAATTTATGGGAACATTCGCATAACAAAAGTCATCCCTATAAATGGCAATAGGGGCTTTCATTTGATTTTATGCTTGAAACATCAGTCCTAGGTAGGAGTGTACAAACACTGAAGATACAGTGAGTGTATCCAGCAACAATAACAAAACTTGTATTTCCTGCTGTAAAATTAAGTGGTGCTTTGGAGACATTCTACATGGACCAGCTGAGAATTTTTTAAAATTACCTATAAAATATTTTCTTTCCTTTTTACAAACTGCTCAAAAGGAAACAATAACTGGGAAACTGGATTGAGGGAAAGGAGAAAAGAAGAGAGGGAAGAGATCAGCCACTTATTCCTTTACTTTGTGGGTATCAAGCTTTTTCTCTCACGAATGGGAAAGCTGACCAATACTTGTACATACATAGGAGAGGGAGAAAGAAGATCCAAGGAACTGTGGTCCAAGGTTAGACACTAGTGATTCTGGGGACAGAGCAGGTAGGGCCCCTTTGTGCTTTCCTGTAACTTTTCTGTAAGTTTGAACTTACATCAAAACAAACAGATAAAAAGTTTTAAAAACATTAGTGTTCTAATTAGAGTACTAATTAAAATTATAGCAAGTAAAAATTAAAAGAGTTGAACAGTGCAGAGCTTGTCCTAAACAACACATAGTAACTGGGGCACATGTTCTTCTCTAGATACACAGAACCAGAGCATTTAAAATAAAAGGAAATAGGAATCATGTAGCCATGTTTTAGAATGCAATGCATACATCCAGTATCAATATGAAAAAAATTAATAAACAAAATTAACATACAAGGGGAAAATCACATGGAGATTTGTTTCCACTATCATAAAATTATGGCATAAGTATTTTATTATTTTTTAGAGCACTTAATTTCTTTATAATCCAATATTTTATTCTACAAAAGACCCCCCAGAGATACCTCTACCTATTCTGGGTGTTTCAATGCAATACCAGCCTGGCTTTACAGATCCACCTGGGCAGACTAACCACATTTCTTAGAGGAAAAAGCAAGAATTAATCATCTAATTGTGAAAAAAAAAAAACTAGAACAGGGAATGAACTTAGCTTCATTTACAGACCATTTGCATAACCAAATACAGAACACTTTTATGACTTAAAGGTATGCGAAAAAAGCAATGATCCTTGTTAAATTAAACAAGCAAATCATCAATTGTACATGATTCAGGAGTCTAGCTATGAGTACACAGTCACACTTGCAGCCCCACCCCTGGAGCTGCTCCTGTGGAGGGCACCTTAACCATTGAACCCTTCCTGTGGCTTGGAAATTGGCTTTGAAGACAATTTAAGACTGTGTATAGGGGTCCAGAAAGGAATTTCAGTGACATTGCATAAGCAATGTCCCACATTCATGGGTTATCTCATGCAGGTGCATTTTCAAACTGACTCTACATAAGAAATGACATTTTCTCCATGCAAAAGAAAATTTAAACTATTTATGTTGATACAAACCAATCAGAAATCTATACACACATACAGAATCCAGATGGACAGTGTTTTTCCCCATGAATGCAGACGTCTGGGCAGACACTAAGAAGCAAGATTGTGGGTAGCTACACAGACTTTGGCCATTCCATTTTCTATGGCAAAGAATTTTTTGCACAGCATGTTGAAGTTGGCAAGCTTCCTTTACAATTAATAAAAATTCTTATGTAAAATGCAAATTCGAGGGTATTACAGAGAGTCAAAAAGAGATCAACACTCAAAGTTGAGGCCTTGGTCAGGAATCTGGGGTAAAGATGAGCCCCTAAGAGGCTCAAGAGTAACTTGGTTACTCCTGACAACAAAAATAACCAAAATAGGCTGAGTTCTGAGCCACTGTGTATCATGGCCACCTGGTTTTGGAGAGGAAGACTAGAAATTTCTGCCTCTGAAATCCCTGGTTTTACATAAGACACAGAGATGTAGATTCTTCAGATGGCAAACTAAGCAGATTGTTGAACTTTTACAGACCCAAGTTAAAAACCAACAACAACACTTCCTAGTTACTAGGCCCCTAAACATGCTCCCAAAGCTTTGCCAAGGAATACATTACCAATCAGTCTTGAGCAAGGCACTTGAGACAGCCCATGAATGTAAAGCTGGGTGGGAAGCATGGATATGGTGCTTCCCACCCCCCCCCAACACTATCCACACTCTCAGAACCTTACAGATGGAGGAGTGCAGAAGGGATGGGAGGGCCTCACCTACACCATCCAGCAAATTCCAACCAATATAGCCATGGGACATGCTTGCTGTCACACTGCAGTGATTATGATTGTTTTGGGAAATGTGCTATAGCTTCTATGCCAGAGCACCATCCACTGTCTGCCCAGAAATGATCACCTCAGAGAGCCTTGTTCTAACAGCTATGTGTTCAGACTCCAAACAGTTGACAGACCTGAAGAACCTCCCTGATACCCCTGGGACCATCGGTGGTGCCCCATGGACGGGTCCTATGACTCACTCACTGTCAACAGTGAAGCGCAGGTCACAAGAGCAGCTTTCCTGAGTCAGGATGATCAGATGGCTGAGCCCTGGGTCAGCACTTCTCTGAATTCATCCCCTGCACAGTAGCTTTCTGCTGGATGAACTACCCTCCACCACCACTAATTTCACTACTACCCCCAAAAGAACAGCTTGATCTTTGCATACAAAATCCGACCTTAGGTTTTTATTTTTATTTTGTTTTACAGCATGGATCGTCTTCTTAAAACAGAAGAACAAAACTACAAACTGAAGTCCAAACTGATATACACTGCCTATTTTCTAGAACTTCTTACAGTCTAGCTCATATGAACTACGTTTTACTCCTAACAGCAGAAGAGCTCGCCTAACTCTCTCCACTTTCTGATCATGCATTTTTTGGTGGCAGAGCTCAAGCTTCTGGCCCGTGGACTTCCAGTAGTAGGCAGCAAGCCATGGTGACCTTTCAAGTCAGGAGGAGCCAGTGCTGCCTCTCAAGAAAGTGTCTGGACAAGTAGACTTCTTGACCTAGACTCCAACCTTCACTCTTGAGTTTGTACTTCCAATAGCCTGTGCTTGCTGGGGACTTCCTGGAAGAGATCAACATGACCAAGAAGTGACCACAGAATGTCTTTCCCTCAGTGGAAGCCTCAACAGACATTTGGCTCAATAGTCAGGAATTGGATCACTGCAGATATAACCCCAAGGCACAATCTTGTGGAAACCCCAGCACTCAGCCCAGAGTTTGAGGATGGTTAGTTTCAATATAGTGGTAGCCACTGAGGAAGACTGAGATGCCAGTACCCCATTTGATGGGCATGACTGCAGAAAAGCTGAAACAGCAGGAATATCACCCATGTTTATCCATATGCTCTTTGTAAATGTGCTTCAGAACAAAATTTCCCAAATTTAGGGAAGCTGTGATGCTGATGATCCTGATTACAGTGTCCCCTCTGCAAGAGATTATCAATAAGTCTATAGCAGGCAGAGAACTAGAATCTTTGCGTGAAGATATCTAAATCATTAATATGAAAAAGATGGAGATTAAAAGTAATGAGAGATAAAATTAATCCATGATAAGGTGAAACAAATTCACATTACCCAGAAGGTGGCATTTTAGAGTCCAGACAGAACTTCAGATGGGAATTCAGCAGCTTTTTAAGACTATGATCTGACCACACTAGAAAAATAGTAACATACTGCCTCAAAGTCATGATTCTCCTGCCTCGTATCCTGAATAATTGATTGTATGTGTGTACCTATGCACACAGTATATATGTGATCTTAATAAATCCACAGAATTTCCTGGGACTCGTATTTTCATTCCAAACTAAAATTTAGTAAGTCACAAAGAAAAACTGCATTGATAAGAAAATAGTATTTTATAATACGAGAGGGAAAACTAAGAAAACACATACTGTTTGACTGCCACACCCTCATACAGGCTGCATGGAGCCTAGGGAACCCTACTTACCTGGTCAACAAGTGTCAGCCAGGAATGCCCAGGGACATCCTTCCACAGAACAGCTACACAGATGGTATTCCAGAGCAACAATTTGGGAAACTGTCAGTCTGGAAAAGCTGGCATTCTTAACTGCAATATCCACCATGTTAGAAAATATTTCTTATTCAGCCAAAAGGGTATTTTGAAGGGGGTGCCCATGAAAGTGAGTGAGGGGCAATTTGTCTGATGCTGCTACCCTGTATTTGCCCATGCCAACAAATCCAGACCATAGCACATCTCTGCTGCTGAGTCCTAGGGCTCTGAGGAGGCCAACAGGACTTGGTACTCATGGACCTGTGCTAAGGAGCAACCCATAGCTACAAATAGGATTCAAGAGAAAACACATACTGGGTTTTCATTAAGCAGTTTAAAGTCTATATTACAGTATGTAGATGATTGCTGTCCTGGAAAACTTGCCTAAAAGGCACCTTATCTGTTCAGCCTAATGTTTCCATAGCACCTTGTATAGCACATGAGCACAGAAACCACTTAACCATGCAAGCTCAGGGAGACACCACTCACCAATATGCTTATTAGGAAACTGCACGGTTTCCACACCATTCGGGTAGGTCGTGTATGTTGTCTGAGCATCCGAGAAGTAATAAATCTGTAAGGGCCAGAAAGACCTGTGTTGAGTGGCAGTTTGCCTTATAGAAGGACCTGTAGTTAATCTGGTCAAGCACTTCCTGCAGGCAGCTGAGGGGACTACTTGGCCGGTGGGCATAACTATAGTCATGGGCACATCCACAGCCATCAGGTGCAAGAAGAGGAGCTGGCCACCAACACCCTGAAATGACAGCCTGGATTGTTACTTAGTGAGAGAAATTACAGGACACAATCTAGCTCTCAGTTCTGTACCTGGGCACTCAGGCTAAACCCTGAGCCATGGGCTTCAGCACCACGGGGGCCTGCAGCAACTGATGACATGACTCTTGAGACCTGCCACTGTGAAACTCCCAGCTCTCAGACCTATGGCCTGCCAAGAGAAGAAATAGGTGCCCACTGTGTCAGACATCCATGCAATCCCACCTTGAGAACTACCACTGGACAGTAGCATTTCCAACAGCCGTGCAGCCTTCAGTTCCCAGCAATGAAAGAAGGAGCTGGAAGAGCAGGTGTGAAGGAAGAAGCTGACTTGGAGGTAAGGGGAGTGGCAGGCAATGCTCTCCATGCTGAGTCTGAGCCCATCTCACCCACACAGTGGGGATGATGAATGAAATATTTAAAATGCACAGGACTCCAGAAACAAAAAGAAACTGAATGCACATACTTGTTTACAAAATGAGACCAGGAAGAAGGCATTATTTCACTTTCCTCCTCACCATGTAGGTCTGCTACAATGGCATTTATGAGAAGGGGTAAAAGGGCACAAGAAGGGTCCCAGCAAGAAGAGTCTTGCCTCTAGTTTATGGCCTTGTGGGCGTTCTTCTGCACATTTGCCACTTGTCTGAAATTAGATGGAGCAGGAGCACTCCCTCTTCCACCATGGCAGCCCGTCTCCCTTTGCAGACCTGAGGCTTGGACTGGGAGCAACAGCACTAGGAAAAGGGAGGGTTCTAGGCCAGCACTTGCTTGCCCCTCTCCAGAGACATTTCACTCTAGCAGAGTGTCATGGTTTATGTCAGTGGCCCCCAGGTCTCATGCATTTGCATTGTGCATTTGTGATTGGTTCATTGTCTAGTGCTTGGATTGAGGGTGTGAGTGCTGCACTGACCTAGGGGTGGAGCTAGGATGTAATGTAATGGCAGGAAGAAGGTGTGTCTTGCTCTCTTGCCAGTTCGGCTTACCTTTTACAGCCGCCATGGTCCTGCCATGCCACCCTGCCAACTATGGAGCCAACTGTGTATGGATTGAAACCTCCAAAAACTGTAAGAAATAAACCTTTCCTTTCCCAACTTTGGTCATCAGGTATTTTGTCTCAGCAACGAGTAAAAATAACTAAGACACGGAATAAAGATCTGAGCAGAGGTATTTCCTCCCTCCCCCTGCTCAGGGTCTTGTTCTCTTCTGCATCACCTCTTGACCTCAGCTCATAATTCTGAGATTTCTCATTCTCTGCACCTCAATTGATCACTGTCACACCCCCAAGCTGCAATGATTCTCTGTTACTCCAAGGTGAAGAAAACTTGACCCCAAGTCCACAGGTAGAGATAGGCAGTAAGAGCAATGTCACGCATGGCTCCACTGGACTGTAATGCAACAGAAGCCATCATTTAAAGGGCTTTCCATGCTCTCACCTCAGTCACATTTCCCAGCAGCAAAATCAGGGGCCTTGTGGGCAGCCAGGCCAACAGAAGACCACCTGGAAGCCAGGTACGCCCTTATCTATACCCTATGATGCTGACATTGCCTTGGGGAGATCAGAAGGCTTCAATGGGGGTAAGATTACTGATCAACATACATAGATGCTTCTCATTAAAATAAATGAAACAGCTGAGTGCAGCTGCATGTGCCCATGATTCCAGCACTCGGGGAGGCTGATGGCAAGTTTGGCCCCAGCATGGGCAACTGAGCCACTTAGTGAGACTCCGTCTCAAAATAAAAAATAAGAAACAGAGGCCTGGGATGTAGCTCAGGGCAAAGCTGCTGAGTTCAGCTTCTAGTACTAGAAAAAAGAAAAAGTAAAACACACACAAATTAGAGGAGCTCTGCAATGACTCTCAGCTCAGCACATATCCTGGAGTCAGTGCAAACAGGGAAGAGGACAATCCAAAGAAAAAAAAGCCAAAAATGTGATCTGGTAATGTTTCACACGAAGAGACTGTTCTCAGTCCACAGCAAGCTATGCTCTTGTCTCCACGCCTGACTTACTGTATTTTCCCATTAGCCAGATTTGTGTAAATTGTCATACCCCAAATTACCTAGAGGATTGCCACCCTGTAAATCTTGCTTATGAAAGATTTGGAATCTCCAAAGTTTGTTGAATCAATTTTCCCCACATACACTCCTCTGTCACAAAATACACAAAATACACAGCCTGTCCCCTTGGGCCAGAAACATAATCTTGACTACCTAATATTAAGCAACCATGGCTATAATAAGCTGCTGTCTTCCATGTGAATGTCCTCTTTGCTATGTGAGCTATGGGGTGACAACTGTCCATCTGACATGAATTTATGATGACCAGCAATGAGAATCCCAACCTTGGCTCTAGTGATAAGATTGGAAAATTCCAGATTGTGAGGATGGAGTTTTCTCCTGTGTATTGGGTACAGTCAGCAGCATCCCTGACCCTAACCTGCTAAATTCCAGCAGCACTCCCAAGACTCCTAGTAACAAAAACCAGAACTACCCTGAGACATCACACATGTCCCAGGTAGGGTGCCCCCCTAGCCAGCCGTGTTTTATTAGATGCAGATGCTGAAAGTTACTAACTTGCTGTCTGTACAGCTGGCCTGACAGGGCTATGATAAAGCCTCTGCCTTGTAGTTCCTAAACCCAAGCTTTCTGCTCTGCCTATCTGGCAGATGCTAATGCCTTCTCCCCAGCTGTTTAAACACTAAGAGAACCAGGGAAAGTAACAGCCACCTGTCCCCAAGCTTGTACAAGTGTTGGCTCTTGGTCCCACCTCACTGTACTGCAATACTAAAGTGGAGTCTATGATTCATGTTTGTTTATGGAGTGCTCGCCTTCAGATTTCTATAGCGTAGGGGCGTTACCTAATGCATTGGGTCATTTAGTCCTTGAAACTATCTTTTGAGTTGGTTCTAATTATAAACCACATTTTATGGAGGATTAAAACTACTCCTAGATGAGAGCTCACAGTGGAGGCAGGGCTAAGTAGTTAGTCTCCCTGATATGCAAATCCGAAGCTTGAGAGACTCTAAAGGATCTTATTTGCTCAAATTCACCGTGGAGAGATCACCCTGTTCCCAAAGAGTGTCTGATTCTAAAGCTGTGTTCTGCCCTTTTCCCTTCCCTCATCCACAAACGTTCAGATAATAAAAAGGTACCACATGCAGAGTGTTCCCTAGTAATCTCAGCTTTTTTAAAAGGTACACTGATTCAGTGTCTCACCACTCGCTGATCAGACTTGATCTTCTTCACATCACCATTATAAAACTTGATGATGGTTGTCTTCTTGTCGGCACTGGTCTCCTTCCTGGTGCCATTGGGGAAGGTGACAATCACGCGACCATCGCTGAGTACGTGCTCTACCTTCATGGAGACACAAAAGTTCCAAGATGAAAATTAGAAGTTATGCAAAGCTTCACTATTTTCCCTGCATTCAAAATCATTCTATGTTTACTGCTGGCTTTGCGCTGTTCATACCAATCAATGGCTGCATTTCCACCCCTCCCCCCAAATCACTAAATGCTTCCAAAACTCCATCCCTGAATTTGTTATGAATAATAAATAAACTTGTCCCATAAATGTCTTTTTTATAAGGCCACATTACACATTTTCTGGCAGTCTGGATAATTTGTGAACATGGAATTTACTGAATTTGCACTATATAAATTGCATAATTACTATGCAAAACTATCTTTTATAGATTTTTTTCCCTTTTCTGGCCTATCCTTTTGACTTGTACAGTACTTTATCCTGTGTCAAAGGTTCACTGACATTCACTGATATGAATTAAAAATCTGCAATTATGGAATTTCATATGTATCATTTCTAGAAAAGAAATTTAGTAAAGAATATCTTTGTCTTCAAATCAAAAATATTAGTCATGAAAAAATTAGCATACAGAAAAAATTGACAGAAATAACCTCACTGCTTTGAGAGTGAAAACATGTGCATGTGAAAATTAGCCAAATGGATTGTTATTTCTTGATAAAGCTTCAAAACCTAATAGTTAATTTATCTGTAGTAAAAGCAAGTTTTTTGAAATGTCATCAGCAATCCAACAAAATTTGGTGATGTGTGCCCCCTGCCGGCCAATTCTACACCATCCAATTTGTCAGGCTTGATACAAAATTGCTCATTGTCTTGCTATTAAACCAGTCAGGTGGCTAGAACAGGCTGTACTCAATTCAATATTAGATTATTATTTTTTTTTAGTACCAGAGGTTGAACTCACCATCTTGTACTTGCCAGGCAGGTACTTATGCCACTGGGCTAAATCTCCTACCCTAGATAAAGTCTTAATCAAGAAAAATTACACCAAAGCTTAAAGGACTAATTACATATTGGAAATGAAAAGACACACATATTTAAAATGTCCCATGTGAAAAAATTCATAAAATCGTTAGCGTTATATAAGTCGGTTATATAAATATTTTGATCAGCAACAAGCTGCATATACAACATGGATCACATAACATGACAGAGTCAAGAAATTTCTATAACCCAGTGTGCCATTGTAGCCATTACAATCCAGGGGAACTGGTTGTATGTGTCATGAGACTGGTGTAAACATACCTACTGCACTGCCAACACACCAAAGAACAGCCCACATGGCACATAAACAGCACAATACTTCATGATGAGAACAATGACCATGTTACTAGTTCATACATTTATGTAATAAACATTTAATCATCATTTTAGAGTGTGCTGCTGCTTTTTTTAAAGTGGTAAAAAAAATCATCTGTGTTACTCCGTCAGAGGCCCTGTACATCTCGTGTTTACCCGCTCTCCTGATCACACATCAAGGACGGTGTGAGTACTCCCTAATCCACATGGTCATGAAATCACCCAAAGACACAGTGTATCCCATCTGTAACTGATGCACAACTATAGAGTATTTTTTGGTATATTTTTTATTTTATAAAATACAAGAGACAAAGAATTTCAGGACATCTAAAGGAAGATACACAAAGACAGAGGACACAAGATGAGAGGTCAGAATGGGTAATAAAGTACCAGGGACCTGAGAAAAGAGGAACATCCAGAAACATGAACACACAGTAGGTGTCCTGCACTGCAGAAAGAGGAGGCTCATGTTGGAATACCACAGAAGAAGCCTCCTGCTTCTTGCACCCACACGTTTGCATTTCCCGCTGAGTGAGCGATTCATCCTGTACTACTGACAAGTTAGCAGCATCACCTACTGCTGAGCCAGAAGGACAAGGTATGTGGAGTGGGGTTCTTTCCCTTGACAACCCTGTGGAACACCTTGATGAACTCTCCCTTATGTGAATGGTTTATCCACTTACAAGGGTAGAAATCCCCCTTTCTTTAGATCACAGTGCAATCAACAAAAGCAGAACAAGGATGGCCCCTTGATTCTCTCCAGTCATTGGAAAAGGGTCACAGTGCATGCACACTGAGTTTATCAAGGGTCTGATCCATCACTGCTCCATGGGAACCCACAAACAGCCCCATGCATCATAGTTGTTCATGCATCTCTTCCAGACCCTCCTGAATCAAGGACAACAGCCACCAGAATAGATCCTTCAGGATGGAGGTGTCTTCTGAGGATGCAGGATGTGGGAGACACTTGGGGAGAGAGAGGAAAATTTTCCTCTCACAAAGAATGTTGCTTTATCTAGCTCTGGCAGATGCTTGCTGACCTGAGTGGAGTCCTGGGACAGTCTGAGCAAAGAGCAGGGAACATAAGAGCCATGACTGGGGAAGAAAGGATGCTACATACTCCTACCTTGCCATCTGTGTGTTGTTTTTCCTGAATTCCCATCTTCTCTATGGTGCTATCCAGGAGGCACACTGCTTGTTGGGAAGATTCTGGCTTTGTGGGAAGGTTCTGCAAAAAGTGTATATCATGGCTCTTGTGGCCTTTGTGAATACTGCAGGGACAGTTAGCTTTGGATATTGTGTGTTTGCTTTTTGTTTGACTAGAGAGGGAACTTGGCACCCTGGACATGCTAGACATGTGCACTACACCTGAGCAATGCCCCAGTCCATTCTGTGCCTTAGGAAGATGTTTCTCCCACTTTTTTTCTCAGTCGTGGCCAGGATGACCAAGGTAGCAACTACTACACCCAGCAGTGTGTACTGAAATGCAGATTATCAAGGCTTTGGAGTGAACCCTTTAGCAGCTGGAGTCCAAAAGTAAAGCTCAGAGGCAAAGATCACCACCATCTTCTCAAAGATGGCACTGGAAAGGGCACAGTGGATGGATGATGCAGACTTTTATAGAAAGCAGAAAATAAGTGGCACCCTGCCCTGTATTTTCTCACTGTCACCTACATCATAAGTGTGCTGTAAAAATCCCCTCCATGGACAAAACTCTTCCCATGTCATAGGTTTTTTTTTTTTAATTAATTATAGTGTATAATAAGTAGACCAACTGCAATGGTTTAGGAGTATTTCTGCTATATTTGCCTTTGATTCCACTTATTTCCATTCAAGATTGTAAATAACTATAACAAAATTTTGATTCAGGGAACTCTTAAGTCAGAAAAAATATCAGTCTGGTTTTGGTTATGTGCTAAATGCAACTACCTCAAACCTGCCAAAAAAAAAAAAAAGTTTCTATCTTTGTAAAAGGCTGAATGAGTTTGGGGAGTAAGGAGTAATCAGATTCATATTAGTTTTCTGCACCTATCAGGAAGACAGGATAGTACCACCACCACCACTGGCCACCACCTCCAGGGCCCTAGGGACAACTTGACCCCACTTACTTGCTGCTCCTCATTGTTTAGCGAGGAGCAAAGGTACTGCCTGGCTCGGTCCTGGTGAAGAAGCCTGGACTTAGAGCTCTGTGGGACCAAAGAACATGTGTCTGAAAGAGGAAAGAAGCTACGTGTCAAAGGACAGTGCATAAGATGCTGAAAATATCACTATCCCTATGGTGTTCCTAAGTCTGATTGAGCTGAAAACATGTTCTTTTTCTTATGAGATTACAAATGCCATGTTGGTCCCGCCCACGGCATATCATGAATCCGCATCTCTGGACATCAGTCCTTTTCAAGCATAAGAGGGCTCCAGAGAGTGACTGGGAAGGAGGCAATGGCTCTCCCCTGAAGCTGCTTCCATCCAGTGGGGATCGGACCCAGGAGAGAGAGACAAGACCCCAGTGAGAACTGGCTTCCTGGATATAGGAAAGAAGTCAGGGGCCACGGGGAAGTAGGGCCACAGGCTTTCAGGAGGGTCTGGGAGAAGCCAAGGAGGGTCACCAACAAGCAAGACAGGCCAAGGAGCTGAGGAGATGACCGCAAGCACAGGGCAAAATGGGTAAGTAAACTGAAGCCTTTTTGAGGACCTGAGTGGAAAGTGGGGTGTCAGCTGGAAGGCCAGGTGGCTGGGCCACTGAAAGTCAGTCGACAGGAAGTCAACACTGAGGGGTGGAGTGAAGCCAGGGAATAAAGGTGTCAGGCGGGTGTCTCCTGTTAGAGGGTCAGAAGCATCTGGCAGAACCAGCAGCTGCACTGGGCTGGGCTGAGCTAGAGAAGATGTGGCAGGTTCAGCCAGACAGATGGAGAGGATCTAACTCAGGAATAAGCCAAAAGCAGCTGGGAATTAGGAAGTTCCAGGGACTACCCACACTTGCTGCAGTGCAGTGTCCTGGGCACATCTGTGTCATAAATACCTGCACATCAAAGTGAGCGAGGGAAGCAGGCTCACGAGCACTCACCCTTCTTGAAGGCTGGTGCCTTCTGCAGCAGGACGCTAGAGGCTGATGCTGGTGATTTCCTGCCACTGGCTTCTGACAGAACTCGGGAAGACCTGTGCACACCCTGGGGACAAGGGCAGTCATGGAACTTGCATGTCACCTCCGCAGAGATGGGGTGCTACATGCAGTGAGCTTTAGCACCAAACCCTTCCTTCTCTCCAGCACTCCACCACAAGCTCAGTCAATTTTTGATCTAAGTCAATTTTTGTTTTAAAAATATATGGAGAAAAAAAATCCCATGTATAGAGTGCGGTATAGCAAATGATTTTTTTCCTTTTTGTGGTACTGGGAATTGAACTCAGAATCTTCGTACTGAGCTACATCCCAAACCCTTTTTTTGTTTACTTTTTTACTTTCGCTAAGTCACTAAGTTGCCCAGACTGGGTTCAGGTTTGTGATCTTCCTGCCTCAGTCTCCCATGTGCACCACTATGAGTTTTTGAACATTAAATATAATTAGTTCCATTTTTATCTTTAAAGACATGTCTAAAGGAATTCAACTTCTGTCTACAAGAACATAATTTTTTAGAAGATAAAACTAAACAGAACAAAACAGAACAAAGCAGGTCAGAAGAAAACAATGTAAGTGACACAGATTTAAAGCTGGATAACAGGAGATCTACCATGGCTACCATAATGCCTTTTGTTTTCTTCCAAATAGTTATCCATATCTTCACACTCAATGAATTCATACAAAGCAAAATAGCGTTAAGCTGATCAGACCAGAGTGATGAAGGCATTACAGGCCTTTACAACCAGACAATAGGAAAATCAACAGTGGCTGCCATAATGTCTTTTGTTCTCGTTCAAATTAGCTGTCCATACCTTCATGTATGTTGAAATTAAACAACACAAAACAGACTAAAATCACTCTGAACAAAGAATAATAGCTGGATTTCACAGCATAACAATACAGTATCCACAATGGATACCATAGTGTCTCTTTTTCTTCAAAATAGCTGTTCATTTCATCATGCATAGTATAATCTATTCTCACAAACTGTTTAGGGGAAGTCCTATGCATGTATGACTATATGTATACCAATCCTTTCTGTATTAGGGGGAAAAACAAGACAAAACAAAACAGATTACTAGGAAAGCATGAAGCAGAAAAGACAAATAAGTAATAATAGCAAAGAGCTTGAAACAAAGCCGATATACACCTTCAAAACAAGGTGGTAGGGGCACAACTTAGATAGACCATAATTACTTTAAGTTGCTGAGTCCATTGAACAAGTTGAGACTCCTCGTTAGACTTGAGTGGAATGTTACTGGTACAAGCACCCCACACCGATTGCTCCACTCCTAGAAGAACGCTAGCTAAACTGGTATGAAGTGGCACCAGTTTCCACGGTCTCCTTTCCATCCCCAGTGTCGACTTCCTGTGGGTGCTATACGGTGAAGATCTTTGGAAGGAGTTTTATTTCTGTCTTTCTGCGATGTTATTTTCCGAGTCAATTATTTCTGCCTTTACACTTATTGGCTAAAAATAAAATGTGAGGCTGTTTTTGCATTAAGGGCATCATGGAGCCAAAGGTGTGAAACAGTACACCATGCTGGTTGTCACGTAGCCTAGATGATGGTGACCCTGTTTGCATGCCTGCAGAAGGACACAGAAAGGGCAGCTGCTCTGGGAGCATCCCATTTCTTCTTATGAAGACCGTTGTATCCTGGAATTTAGAACTTTATGACAGGGTAAACAGGTTAGGCAACATGGTAAAATAAAGTGTTTACAACTGAATTTAACAAAGTATCACCTAAATTGTTTTCTACCCTTTGAGCTACTCAAACCCTGACAGCTCTGAGGTGTCGATTGGCACTCATTTAGTTATTCTTTCATTTGCACACATATCACTGAGCAATGTAACCACATCTTCCTAGTGAATCCCATTCAGTGTGGGAAGGAGAGAAATGTGTCTTCTCAAAAGAAGCCAGAAAACCACAGTCTGTCCTGGAACTTCAGATGCTGAATCATCAAAAGATCTGACAGGATGGGTACAAATGCTTGGACTGGGAGACTTCAGATCCTCTCATGGGGAATCAAGTGTTTCCTATGCCCCCACCACACTGAGAGGGACTGTCAGGACAGAGACACTTTCAGGAGATCAGGGCTTCTCTACCACCGCAGCCCCATTATGCCCGAGGAGGACACACAATTTTTTTTTCCCCAAGGATGAGGCTGACAGAGCAGAGAAGATACCATCTATGCAGATAGTGGCGTGTCCCTTTAACATGTAAAAATGCAATACACATAAACAATGTCCTGCACTGCAGTCCCCAAACAAACAGTGTAACCATCACACAGATGAGCCTCCTATCCTAAGCAGCAATCGTGAAACACAGCAAGACACAAAAAACACATTTAGACCCTCAGCCAAAGAGTTTAATGGCAATACGGGGTGCTGCCACAGAGGAAGCCTTCTCAGGCTGTGCTAATAGGAAGGCTTTTCTCGGAAGACACTCGGCTCCCAAGAACACATAGTCTACCAGGGCTCCCAAGAACACATACATGCTCTACCAGGGACCCGACATTCTACTGTGAAGAGGTGGGATAGGGTGGGGCCTGTGAGTTTAGGTTCCAATCCTCCTCTTCCCTAGATAGAGTGTAAACACAAAGGTCACCTTGGAGGGAGCTACATTTCCAGGTGGCCATCTGTGATGAAGGCCAACAGCACTATGACTCTGGTGTCCAATGTATTTTGGTATCATTTCTTTATCAGTTGATGCAAATGAAGGTTTTTCAAAGGTAGACGCTAATACCCAGAAGATAATTATCACAAATAAAGGGGGAGTTTTCATATGTCCAAAGGCACAGTAATTATCAAATAAAATAAAATCTTAATCCACTCAACAATAAAAAACATAGAGTGAAAGATGGGAGGATGGGCTAGGTCCCCCATCAAAGTGATAGTAAAAGCAGATGTCACCATGTCCAAACAACCACAGGGTCTTGAAGAACACACAATAAATGATCCCACCATCTACCCCCTTGGGTCACATGTGTTCAGCCAAGAATCTCTTAGGGGAGGAGGAAAACATGACTTTCTTTCCAGTGGTGTCTCACAACTGGTCCAAAACATGTGTGGTGTGAGTTCTCAATGCTCCTTATTAAGAAGCAAACTTTTCAGGAAGGAGCAAGGGCTGCAGGTGGGGTGAGCTGCTTGGGTTTGACCCTGTGAGTTTCCACCCTGTCCTGGTGGGTGAGGGTTGCATTTACCTTCACCCCGCTTTCACGGCTGCCAACCATCAGCCATTCACTTCATTGTGTGTGCCCATGTATACTGCTCTTTGTGATGCCTACCCTAAAATTGTGTCTGCAGATAAATTTAGACACACCTGAGAAGGAAGGATTCCCGTATTTTGATCTGTTTCCTTCAAAACATCTTTCTCTTTCTGAAAACATATGCCATTCTCATATCTAACCTCATGCCAAGAAGAACCCCCTGCAGGTCTGTGAATATCTGTAAAATCACCAAGAAATAATTCAAAGCAAGAGAACAATTGAAACTACAAGGTGAGTCAGGGACAGTGGCACACTACTGTAATCCAAGCATTCTGAGAGGCGGAGGAAGGAGGATTCCAAGATTGAATTGCAGCCTGGACCACTTAGAGAGACCCTAATACAATACTAAAATTTTTAAAAGGCTGGGAATTATAAATCAGTGTCAAGGCCCTGGGTTCAATCCCTAGCACTCTAAAAAACAAATCAATAAAAAAACAAGTAAACAAATAAAAATCCACTGTGTGATGCAGACTGGGTAAGATTTCTCTGTCTCCTGGGGTGTGTCTTTATGACACCTCATTCACATACAGTGACCAGGTAGGGTTCTGGGTCAATTTGTTGGGAAGTGGCATCAAATCTGGTGCAAGACACCTACCAGCCTCTGTTAGCAGCACCATCAGATTTGTGAATCATCTGAAGAGCAGGTTCAGATTCTGACCCACTAAGCCATCGTAGGAATCTCTGAGGAGCAGGGTGGGACTGAAGGTCTCCATGGCTTTTGTTAGAGATGCTTTTGACTAGGTGCTGCAGAGTGAGAAGATCGCAGGACCTTCATAGGCCCACAGGAGTTTTGTGTGTGTATCTGTGTCCTCTGCGTATGTGCGTGATTTATGCTGTGTAAGAAACAACCAAAGTTCTTGAACTATACCACTTAAAAAATTTCACATAACTAGTGCAGAAAAGAAATGCTAGTGCTTCTGGAACTCACCATAAACTACCTGACTCACTTTCAGGAACTGTTTACATGGTTCCACATAATCAGTTTGTGAGGTTTCACTGATACAAGCTCTTCAGGTTCGCATACAGGAAATAGCACTAGAACAAGGTGTTAAAAACACTGGCCACATGCAGTCTCTGGGGCACATCTGTTAGTCACACATCCCAGCCATGGAAGCCAAGTGTCCATGACAGTGGGCAGGTCCTCTGCAAGGCTGACCTCGTCTCTGAGAGAACTCTGAAGGATGAGGTGGTGATTATCTTGTCTAGAGCTGTCCTGAAGGATGAGGAACAGCTGAAATCTGAGCCTGAGTGGAGTCAGCAAGCTTCAGATTCAAGTCTTGGCATCCCCTATCTCCAACCCCATGATGACAGCAGAGTTACTGATGGGATCAGCACTGGGGTAGTGAGTTGAAGTGGGGAACCTCACACTGACCACATGAAACACCAACCAGGGTGTCCGCAGTGGCCATTAGAGTTTTTTTTTTTTTTTTTTTTTTAGTGTCTTGGAAGACTGGTGTAGACAAGGCAGCCCAGATGGATGTAGTCTGTCTACTGGGGTCCAGAAGAGCCTGGCCTACCCAGGACTCACTTCACTGTGCCATGGGGCTTGGAGCTGATGAAAGACAGCAGCCTTCCCCGGGGACAGCACCCCGCCCAGAAGGCTGTCTTTGACACCATTTTAAGGAACACAAAGGGCCCACTGTACCAGCACACGTGATCCGCAGGGTGTGGGAAGCGAGGCTGCAGGCTTCTCTGTGTCTGTGGGATCTTGCAGTCCCCAAGCCCTTAGCTCCTCTCGTAGTGCCAGGTTCTGCTTTGTCAAAGCATCTATCTGGTTCTGGAGTTTGGTATGAGCGACAGACCATTGAGCCACCTGTTTCCGGAGCTCACCTCGAAGATCAAAAACCTGGTGCTGAAATTGCTGCTGTGGGGAGAGAACACCAAGGACCTCAGAGCCCCGCTAGGTGGCCTCTGCATCATCTCAGGGCCCCTTCCCACAGGAGACATCCCCCGTGACATCAGAGGAGAAAATCAAAGCTGCAACAACTTCACCTATTTTTACCAAGTGGTATCCATTGTGAATTATTCTGCATGTTATGACTGGTAAAGATGGTGACTGAATTGTCATTATGTGGTAAAATATTGCTATGGCAAAAGAGACCAGAATTCTTTTCTCCTCTTCGATCTTGTCTTCATGGGGTCAGTATGGCAGGAGTCAGAAAGCATGACAAATACTTGGAATACCGGGTCATGCTTCCCCCTTGGCCCTAGGATTGTTGAGCTGCGGTAAATAAGCAGCAGCAGGTGCAGAAGAGCTCCCGTCCCCTGTACTGCCTGGAAGAAGACACAGTGTCACAGGCACAGTAGGCTCTTGACTCCACCTCGGTTAACCACTCACTACAGCTTCAGACCCTTCTCCTTGGAGATGTTCTATCAGAAGTCTTCATTTGCCCTCCCTGAGTCGCTGCCTGCAGAGACTCAAATTCCTTCTCTTGATTCTCTCCATTCTCTAAACACCCCTGCCCCCAGGTTGAAGATGGTACAGAAGCCAAGTATAAAGTTACATGCTTGAGAACCACACATTCCCTGGGCATCTCCCAAGTACCCGTGAAATAACCACGCTCTTAAACCTGTGTGTTTTTCTTACTGGTCTGTCTTTTGTACAAGAATCTGCTTCAACTAACAACCTGTGATGATTAGAGCCAACACTGCTTTTCTTTTCTTACAGTATTTTCCTTTCAAGGAAATTATATCCCAAAAGTAACTTGGCATCATGTTGTAAACTGATTAAAATTTAAGGGGAAAATAACAGACAATTTGAGAAATTTTCTTCGTTAGCAAACATATTCTCCTGGTTAATTCCAGAAAAAGTGGGAAAGTGATTGCATTTTAATTCTAAGTTAAATTTGCATCCTTCCTCATCTCCCATGAAATTGTCCTGGTAATACTAAATTTGTGAAGACTGGTGACAGGGAACAAAGAGCATGGGGATGTGACTGGTGACAAATGAGAGAATTAGAAGTCTGTCAATCAAATCCCTGGTCTTTTTTCCCACATGGAATTTTTTTGTTACTATTTTATTTTGCATTTGCATGTTTTAACCATACATATTAGTCAGGCTCAGCTTTGTTTTTTCACACATGCATGCTTACTCCAAATTGAAGCTACAACCTTGATGCTTCCAGTAAGGGTGGGGAGAGCCCAAAAACATAGCAGGGCCCCAGAAGAGTAAGAAGTGAGAAGTCTCTGGTCGCCAGCAGAGGGTGCACTGCCCTTCCAAAATCAGGACCTGTGTAGTATATGGAACTCACAGTGAGTTCTCACAAACCCTGGTAAACTGCCAGGTCAGTGACAATGGAGGGGAAGATACTCTCCTCACTAGGAGCTGAGTTTACACAGTTAAGATACAAGGATGTGTGAAAAGCATGGAAAACATCCCTATCACTTTCTCCTTTGTCTGAATCATCCAGAGATAAGCCCTAGGCCTTCTGCCTTTCCAGAGGTGATTTTGTGAAATGACTCTGAGCCCTGCAGGGAGTGCCACTCTCAGGCTGGGGGCTGCGGCTGAATCCCAGGAGCCTGAGCTAAGCGGAGACCAGGGACATCACTGACCCCAGGCTGGGCTGCCCCTTTGTTGTTTTCTGCTGTAGTGGCTACCATTGTGTACTGTGCTCCTGTCTATGTCCCTTCCGCTCCTCTCCAACTCTTGCTGTCTGCCACTGTGACCAGGAACTTGGAGCAGCATGTGACACCCAGCAGCCCCTACAGTGAGTGTGCACCGTATATTTGAAGTGCCCTAGTTTGGGTCGAGAAGCCAGGCAGAGGCTAAAGTTGGGGTTGTGGAGGAGGAGGAGAACACAACTGAAGATCAGGGACCCTCAATCACAGCGATAAACACAGGTTCCTCTTGGGCACATGCAGAGCCACTTAAGGGAAGAAGGCTGCACTGGAGACTGTCAGGGTATCCACGAGGAGGCCCTCCTCCAGGGTGGCCTGCTCCAAGCAGTCCTCAGTGAGGTCAAGAAGTTTCTTCCCTTCTCTGTCCTTTCAGGCAGGCTGGAGCAGCATTCTCCTGCTTACACATTTCACCAAAGGCCACACACAGGTCCCCTCCACCCATGCAGGTCAGGTGATTCATCTTGCTGTGGGGGAGCTCACCATTGGGGCTATGGAGTCACAAGCTTTGGTCTCGTGACCTTAGCAGGGCATTCATCTTCTTTATGGATAAAATGGGGAAGATGCAACCTCTCCCAAGTTTGTGGTAATTACAGCTAATGAACCACATTGTCACGCGTCTGGCACAGGGACTGGTGTGCATGGACATTGTGAGTATCACTGTCCTGGAGGTCAAGCCTCTGAGTCACAGCAAATCCTTGGACATGAATGGACATGTTTTTCCGAGAGCCTTGCATTTGACTTGCATCGTGGCTATGGCCCTGTGCCAAGAATAAACAAGAATCCAGAGAGGGACAGTGCAGGCCATGCAGCTTTACCGAAGCAGACACCCCAGTGGGCAGGGGCAGATGCTGCTAAAAATCTAGAAATTTGCTGGGATGGTTCAAGGCATGCAAACTGTCTATTTTTTGTTTGTTTGGGTTGTTTTGTTTTGTTTTGTTTTAAATCAACCTTTTGAAGCCTCATGCTGTCTCCTGGGTTACCAGGGAAAACCTGACATATCCACATTTTCTTTAACTCCTCCCTCTGCTTCTTGTCCATCAGAAAAGAAAATCACAGAGGGCAAAGAACCATATGTTCCTCCTTACAGGAAATAAAATACTGGCATGTAAGTACATCACTGAAATGGTCCTGCAGGACAACCAAAGCCAGTGTCTGGTCTCAGACTGGAAGCAGGGTCATCCCCAAGCCAGTCTCTAACACATACACACCGCAACCAGCTCACCATGGCCTGCTCACCAGCATCTGCTTGACCCTGCAGTCCACTCTGGGGCCCCTGGCTGTGGTGTCCTCTAAGCCAGCCCTGCATGTTGGGCCTGAGTCTTCTGTGGGGCTCGCCTCCACTCCTCTCCTGGCCTCCAGGTGACTGGTCATCATTCTGGTTGAGAAGGAGAAGAATCAGGAAGCTCCTTGGTTTTACACCTCTGCCCTCCGTGGATCCTGATGTCCTCTCCATGCCCCTACTGAGAGTGAGGCAACCCTTCACTGTGCCCCCCCCACTACCCAACTGAGTGCTCTGTGCCAGGCCTGAGGCTCATGAAATAGAAAGACAGCACAGAACAGAGGGGCTGAGCTGTTCCTGAGGGGCCTGCCCTCAACATGTGTAGAAAGCACTTGCATCCATAATCAGTGTGACCACCATCTGAGCACTCATTTAGAGGTGAGCAGAGGTCTCAATGGGACACTGAGGAATCCTTTGTTCCTTCATCAGGCCCCCATCTGGAACAGACCCAGACCAGGGGCTATGAGGGCCCATGTGCTGGAGTCATGATGATGTCCCCACAGGGACCTCTGCATCCTGTGATGGTGAAAGAAACACATCCTTCCTCAGCAACAGCCTGGCCAGGGATGTGCCACACACACCAATTAAAACTGGAAGCAAAGCCAGGTATGGTGGTGCCTGCCTGTAATCCCAGCTCTCTGGGAGGCTGAGACAAAAAGGATCAAAGATAGAGCCCAGCCTGTGTAAAGCTCAACTCAGCCTGCGCCTCTCCACTTCCCTCCTGGGGGACCTCCAAGGGGACTATTATGGGAAGGGTGGAGGGTGGTGTTAGGGAGCTAAGGTGACCCTCACTAGGCAGAGCCTTCAGGAATCTTGGGAATTTGGAAGGGGGTTCTGATCCCAAATTGTTACAGAATCTTTCCTATTTATAAACAGAATGTTCTTTATTATATTTTGAGTTTCTCATATAAAGAACAAGATGAAAGATAGCTGATAGGAAGTAGGGAGATAGACCATTTTCAAATGGGAAGGGAATCAAGAAGAAGAAGGAAAGGGAAACGGAATGAAAAAAGAATTGAAATGTGTTATGTACACGCAAAATTCCTCCACAAAGAGTGTCACCATGATATACTACAAACATGTACTAACAAAACACAAGTGAAAAAGGGCAATAGAGCCAAAAACCAAAAATGGTTTTATTTCTAAGCTTCACAGTATATACAAAGACAAGAGTGAACAATTTAAGCGCCCTCAGAGAAAGTGGTTGTTTCCTAAGGAGAGAAAGTGTTACCTTCGGTCACCGACTTAGGTGGCCTCACCTGAGTGTCCTGCAGACATGGTGGACTGTTCAACTCCCAGCAGGAACTCCGTGTCCTCAGAACCACAATCCTCAGCCACTTCGTCCAGAGGAAACCTTCCCTGTGCCTGTGTTGCCTCACTAGTCCATGACAGTACCTTCTTCCAGGATGTAGTCCATCTCTGTGGAGCCCTAAAACCTGTTCCTGAGCCCTCCACCCCACATCTCTAGAACCCCCTTATTCATTCTAAACCGACTTCCTGTCTTAAAGGGCCATACCTTCTTACATAGCTTTTTGGTGTTGCAAACATGATAATTAGATACCTTAAACCTGTGATTAAGTTTCAGTAAGCTCATGATCAGTGGGATAGATCTAATCACAGAGAATAGAAGAAAAACCAAATTTTTGCTCCATACTGATGGGTGAAAATGTATTCAATACTCAGCTTTTAATGTGCAAAGTATAGTAAGAAGTCATTCTTCTCAGTGTACATTTATATATAAAACTTTCTTTGGCTGTCAAAGCAAATTGTTTGCTAGAAAAGATGTTTGTGATCTGTGCAAGCTTAAATAGAAAACAAAATCCAAAAATCCTCCTTTCACAGAACACGTCTATCTCTATCCCGCTGGCTGACTGAGTCTGTGGGGACCATTTCAGAGTCAGTTCTGGGTGCTAATCTGACCATCATCTCTCATCACAGCTTTGTAGATGGAATAGCCAACTATCCAAAGAGCAAATAGGAGGAACTTTTGCACAGGAGTGAATGATAGAAGTAACTCCTTGTCACAATGGTCCTGAGAACAAAACCTGAGCTGCATTTGGGACGGGATGTGGTCCTCCTATGTGAGAATTACTCCTGTTCTTATTCCATCAGTGCAGTTTGCTCCTTCCTTATATTAGGTAGAGGGCAGCCTGTCTGCTCTAACCCTTTCCCTGCTGTGAGCACACCTAGCAGGGGCTCATGGAGGTGCCACATCAGCTTTGGGCATCAGATCCTGCCTGGGGCACATGGGTGGCAGTCTCTAAGTGATGAGGTGTGACCAGTGATTGAGGTGTTGGAATGGAGGAGGTGCTGCAGTGTCTTTGCTGGTTTCTGACCCTACTGTGGGTTGAACTGGTCTGAACACACCCTGGCAGAAACCACAATGCACCTCTCATTCATGTGCTGAAATCGGAGACCAACTCCAGGGTGCACTGTTTGGGTGGCGACAGAAATGCTTTTTTTTTTTTTTTTTTTTTTTTGAGACAAGGTCTCACTATGCTATTCAGGCTGGCCTTGAGCTCACTTTGTAGCCCAGGCTGGTCTTGAACTCACAAAGATCCCCCCGCTTCAGCCTCCCAAGTGCTAGGATTACAGGTGTGCACTATCACACCCAGCTAGAGAAATGCTTTTTAAAATAATTTACCCTTTCAAACTTCCATTTTAAAACAATACTGTTGAAGTGGTATCTGCCTTGACAAAGGAAATAATAATTTTTAAATATCATCCCAGCAAGTGATGAGAACAAAAGTGACTGCAATCAGTCCATTTCAAGGCACTGAGGAAATTAATGGGTGATGGACACTAAAATACTAAATCTACTGTGTGGCAGTTGATTCAGGAACATCATGGGCTTCTATGCAAGCTGCATTGTTTGACACTTTTATATCTCTGTGAATGGAAGATTCCAGGGAACACCTACAGCTGTTTTGAGCTCCTAAAACTGCTGCACAATTGGTATGTTAAAATATGTTTGTGGAAAAAGTGACACTATGAGCCCTAAGATAAAACTCATTTTAAAATGATTATCTTGCTAGAAGCCGTTCTTCACTTCTACGGTCCTCACAAGGTAAACATTTATTCCCGCCTCCCTGCCATTCCTCAGGTTGGACCCTTGAAGCCAGGCTCCTTTGAAGCACCTCAGTATCTCAAAGCTCTCTGTTTCTTTTGGATTTTGTAAATGAACCTGAATACCATGAGTGACATACTCTAAATACATTCTCCAACACTGTAAAAAAGTGGTTTAACAGGTAGAAAAGCTAAAAGCAAAGTGCTGAGGCACATTATGGAAACAGCCATGTCTACCTGCAGGGTTGAGCACTTTCCATCTGTCCCCAAGATCTGTCTGCTGTGACCCTGCAGAGCACATTATGCATCTGTAGTCACTCTGCATCCAGTGTCGGTGACCACCATAGCAGATCGTTCTATTCATGTCCGTTTGTTTTTGCAGGAGGGTCCAAGTGACTCTGCAGGCACAGCTGAGGTGACTTCAACCTTTTACCCACATAGGCCACAATGTCCAAAATTAATCTTTGACTTCCAACATCAATTCTGGAAGATCACAGGACGGAGAAAACCCAGCAAAGTTCCCAAACATTTACCTGTACTTGAGTGAGACCAGTTTCTTGATAAAAGCATGGGATGCCAGAATCCATGCAGGTATTTCAGGAAGCAGGTGAAGCTACTCTCCAGGGCTTTTACCATTTCTAAACTCTATATACTGATACGCATTTTTGTTTTTGCACTGTTGTGTGTGTGGTTGGAAAGCATTTTGTCTTTTAACACACAACCCAGTTATGCAAACCAGAGAGTAAGCCCCAGGGTGTATTTCCCTACAACCCCATAGCCATGTGAGCTGTAATCATCAGAACCTCTTCAGAGGAACAATGCCATCACCAGGAGGAGAAGGCTTGGGATAGGTCAGCATTTGCTGAAGTCCATCCAGGCATCCTGTACATAAAATCAACAGAAACCCAGAACATTCTACAAACTGAGCCCATTTCCTTGATGGAACCCATGAAAGATGTACAAATGAAGTTTAAATTGATTTAATTTAAGACACACTAACAATGAATCTTGTTATTCCTCTCTGTGGGAAATAGTTTCAACAACATCATCTCCAACTGCCAAGAAACCATGGGATTCTGAGTTATTAATGGGGAAAAGAACTTAACACAACATGCTTCCATTCTGCTGTTTCTTAATTTGAAATCTTTTAAATAGAAAATACTGAACAACATCAAGTGTCCAGTACCACACAGATGATGGCCCTGGAAGAGACACTTGTGAGACAAGGACCCAACTTCTGAGAGCTGAGGATTCAGGCACAGGGACAAAGTCTCAACTAGAAAGAGTCCATGCCTGGACTCTAAAATTGAGAGCAGGTCCTGTTGGGGTGGTTCCTACGGGAGGAGTAGCATTCCCAAGCAGAGAGCCAAGGCAGATTCAGAAGGATGAGAGAAAGACAAAAGACGTATCGTGGAGAAAAGTATTATTACACTGTGATTCTGAAACTGCCCCCTCAAATCTCATATATGTGGAAGGTGGCTGAATCACAAGGACACTGTGCTTATCCATGCATGAGTTCAGCGGCTGAGTGTGTTATTGGTAAGTGGGGCCTGGTTGGGGGAGGCAGGCCCCTAGGGATATGACCTGGAAGGGCCTGTCCTCAACCCTGGTTGGTCTTCCCTTCTCTCTCCACTTCATGGCTGTCATGACATAAGCACATTTGCTCCACTCTGCCCCTCTCCTGTGCCATTCCTGCCTTGGAACCCACCAACCATGGAATGTAACTATGAGCCAAAATAAACCTTTCCTCCTTCCTGTGACTGATGTCAGATGTTTTGTCCCAGTGATGAATTCAGTGACTAACACAAGTACCAGGCAGAAGCCAGAAAGAGACCTTCTGTGTGAGAATGCAGGGCAGAGGTCAGACCACATGGGAGAGGTCAGCTTCTTCCTGAATTTGGGACTAAAACTGAATTATAGGGTGGAACCCAACTGTGATCCTTTGAACATTCATTCAAACTTGAATTTGATGTGATTAACAATAGAAACAGTTTTAAGTTAATCATGATGAAATTAATTGATGGTGAAAGATGATTCTGGCAAAAGAATATGAATAATCTGAAAGAAGACGAAAGAAAGTCCCACAGGAAGAAGGGCTAAGCTGCTGGTTTTATATATCTGTGTGTACAATTTCTGTGGTAGGCAACATAAGCGTCCTCACAGATGTTCACATCCTAACCACAGGGACTCCTGTGGGGATACTATGTCACCGTACAAAAGGGACTTTAATGTGACTCATTTGAGGCTTTTGAAGGTTATCCCAGGTTATCTGAGGTGTCACTACGGTCCTTATATGAGAGAGGCAAGAGGACCAGAGAAAAGACACAATCTCAGAAGCAGGGCACAAATGGAGCTCTGAAGATGTCTCAGGCCCACGTGAAGATGGAGAAGGTATCAGAACAGCACTTCCTCAAAGCAGGACTAAAGGCGAGAGCCAGAAACGGAGCAGTGGACAAACACCACCGGCTCCAGATGGCAGATGTGAAGTCTCAGACGGCAGAGACTTCATGATGTAGGAGCCCCAGGACCCCCGTGGATAGGACAGGAGAATGTGCTACCCTCAGACACAGAGGAGCTGACCCAGGGGACATGGAGAAGGTGACATTCTCCCCTCTGACATCCACAAGCAACAGGTATTGAGGCTCTGAACTCTGAGTCACTCTATGAGGGACCACTGAGAACCTCAAACCACAGCTGCTGTCTAATGCTGATAGATGCAGTTCGGGGTTAGGAGAGCTGAGGCCAGGATCTGACTCCTGGGAATGGTAGGTCAGGTGCAAAAGTAAAGAGGGGCTGGCCAAGAGAACAAGGAGGACAAGAAGATCAGAGCCATACAGAGCACTGGACTTAACAGGAAATGTGTCAGCAATGTCACTGGCTTTATCATAGTATTCCAGGAAGGCAGAGGGAGAACACAACACTGACCAGGGAAGTTAGTCACAGTCAAAGCCATAAATCTCTAGGTTCAGTTTCTTCATCTAGAAAATAAGAGATCTGGATAAATTTCTTAAGATACCATTGAGCTCCAAAAAGCCATCATTCTGTTATTTGGTGGAAAGGAACTTTGAGTTAAGGACCACTGAGAAAACACTTTGAAAATAACACTAGCAACTGAGCCACAATGAGGCAATTCTCCTAATACAAGCAATTCAGTAAGCCAGGTCACAGCATTCTCCAGACACCCTGGAGAAAGTCTCGTACACCCCCATGCTAGATGTTTCAGTTGGGGAGCAGAGTTCTGAATGTCCCCGCTCCACTCCACTGATGGTTGCAGGTGAGGGGCACAGTGAACCCACGTCAGAGGCTGTGTTCACCAGCTGTTCTCCTCCTCCCCTTTTCTTGACCGTAGTGGAGGTCTCTCTGCAGGGCGCATCAGGCGGAGGAGGACAGATCTTACCTCTCAGCAGCCTAGAATCTCTTCCTCCAGTCCTCAAGTGTGGGACGGAAGTGGGACAGTTTTTGTAGGAATGAGGATTAACGAAGAGGAACACTTACCTGATTGGCAGAACGTGGTTCCCTCTCCCAGTCTCCCTTGTCTCCCATCCTCTGGGAAACCCCTGCTAGCTCACAGGGCCTGGCTCATGGAACACTGCAGCCAGGCACCCACAGGCCTGAATGACCTTGAGCCTCAGAAGAGGAAAATGAGGGAGACCCTAAACTCAGCGAAAGGGCCTTTGCTGTTTTGCAACATTTTTCCCAGGTGCTTTTTTCTTTCCTCCTCTTGGTTTGGGGAGCCAGATACAACATAAAGATACTTAAAATGTTCATTATCAAATTTATGCTTAAGTATTTGAAAAACAAAAAAGTTAAAATCAAGCACATGTACTACCGCCACCATTCCTGTCTTTTGTGCAACCTCAGTTCATGGGTTCCTTCATAAAGCAGGAGCTCAGGGCACATCCATGGCACAAGACTTGTACTTCGAAGTGTTCCTTGTGCTCTGGTTTTGATATTACAAATACTTCAAACATAATGACATGAGAAACTAGGATTACAGATCCAATGAATAAAAGTCACAATGCAAGCTATGTGTATAGCAGCCCTCTAATTAGATTAATCATATGAAATACTGAAAGGACATTTACCACAGTCCTAGCAAACTGCTACTGTGTCTCAGTAGAGAGATTACAAATGATTCTTTCTATCTTACTTTATATCTTCCTGTATTTCCTGTAACAGAGATATTACCGTTGCAATCAAAAAGATCACTCTAAATTCTAAAGTTAAATTTTAAATTGTGAGTTGAAGCACAAGAATGATTTTGTTTGTAACAGTCCAGTTAAGAGCAGCAGTGGGTTTAGTAGCCAACTTTTGACATAGCTCACTGTGTTCCAGCAGGCAGCAGGCCCTCTTGGAAAGGTAGGACCTAATTCAAGGGGCCCTTCCTCGTATGCCAAAAAATATAGATTATGTTTTAAGATGCAGTATGGTAAGCAGGATGATGACCTCAAAGATGATCATGCCCTAAACCCCTGGGCCTGCCTGTAAATAAGTGACAGGGGGTCCCCAGACCTGATTAGACTGGGGATCTTGGGACAGGGAGGTTTTCTGCTATGAGTAAAGGGTGGTTGAAGGACAGTCAGACTCCAGAATGAAGGTGACAGTGGGAACAAAATGAGATTGTTTAAATTTTTATAACATAATTATGCATTTAGATATCTCATTTAAAAGTGCTTTGGGATATTTTTACTTACTTTTCCTGAAGAACATTACAGAAAATCCCTCAGGACCTAAGAAAACTGCCACATGACCTTCCTTTCCCATGGTCTCTTCTCTGTATTTCCACATGGACATCCCTGTCTCTCCTCTCAACTAGGACCCTTAGTGTAAGCCTACAGTTAAAAAACCAGTGCCCACCAACAGCCTCCATCCGTGTCCCATTCCCGGCACTCAAAATCACAGTGAATCCATAACTCCAGGGATGTAGGGCCATGCTGCAAATGTGGCTGCAGACAAGGTACCTGCTCATGCCCTCTGCATCTAAGGCCAGAGTGGCCCTGCGTGGAGCAATCACTTGATGCACCTGAACAAGTGATATAGGAATGAACAATGGAAATGTAGTTTTTAAATTATCCATTTCACACATCAAATATAAAGAGTGCAAGTTTTGATACTTCACGTTGATATCTCCAGCAGCAGTGAGCTTTACAAAAATTCCTCTCCGAGGCTGGCCTCTGTCCGCTGTCACTTTTAGTTCTGTTTGTGTCTTCCTCTTAGTGCTCACAAGTGGAAGTCTATTCTGGGGTTTTCCATGCTTTTAAGTTTGAAACTATAAAATAAAATGGAAAACAATTGCAAAAGTTTTTTCTGCCTAAGAAGCACATCTGGGCACATGAGGCACAGGCGTGGAGTTAGAAATCCAGTACAATCAATTAATTTTTAATAAAATTGTATCTCCTAATAGTAAATGACTTTCTAGCACAAGACATTGCTCAAAATGATTTCTTATACATAAAAATTTGCCTTAATTAGTAATCTAGTCATTTAACTATAGTTACACTGTCCTAAACCACTGAGTCTGTCTGTAAATGGGGAAACTGTGATTTGTTAAAATTCTTTTATTTCAAACTATAAGCTGGAACACAATTCTCAGGGCTGTCCTAGGACTTTGTCATTTGACTTGACTTTCTTCCTCCAAAATCATACTTCTCTTTCCAAAATGATTTTGTCTTAGTTATTTTTTCATTGCGGAGACACAGTGCTAGACACCCACAAGTTGAAGTAGGAGAGGTTTATTTTAGCTCACCATTTGTAGAGGTTTCAGTCTATCATCAGCTGTCTGCAAGGCAGGGTAGCATGGCAGAAGGGCATCCCAGAGGAAAACTAGTCCATGGTACAGCCGCAGGATCCAGAAAGCAATAGGCAGAAGCAGGAAGCCTTTTTGTTCCCTTTTCTCCCAGCTACAAGGGCATTTTGGGTGGTAATACCCACACACATGATATGCCTTCCCATTTATTCTCCCACAACAATGTTAAACCAATAAGAGGACTAATCCAGTTATCATACCTTTAATCCATGTTCACATACCCTTAATCCACATTTACATACCCTAGATTTAGCCACTTTCAAAAATTCCCCCATGAGGGCTAGGGATTTAGCTCAACAGCATAAGTGCCTGCGTGGCAAGCATGAGGTCATGAGTTTGATCCTTAGTACAAAAAAAAAAAAAAAATTCCCCCATGAGTGCATGAGGATTTGGGGGATATCTAAATACAAGCCATAGTAGATTCCATTTTTCTTTTCTTTTATCTTTCTTGTTTTTTGTTTATTTTGTTTGTTTTGTTTTGTTCTTAGCAGTACTGAGGATGGAATCCAAGCACACTAGTGAAGTGCTCTACCACTGAGCCTCTGGCCCACATTCCATTTTTCTTGGAAACGCCATTGTTTCTTCCTCCTGCGCCTCGATCTCCCCATGGCTAGAAGTGAAAATAAGAGAATAGGGGTGAGATGCTCCAAGGCAGACCTGGGGCAGAGCCACCTGGGATAGGTCAGACTTCCCTGAACCTGGAGGAAGAATGGGTAGTGAAAAGGTTGGTGGTGTGAGGACACGGAATGAATGAAAATCAGAGATGACACAGTCTCCAAAGCCCTTGCGAAGGTCACCATCCTGGCTCTGAACAATGTCAGCTATTAAAATGCCACTCATCCCACACTGGGACCAGTCATGTTCACTGCCCTGAACTCACTTGTCACCCTCTGACTTGCTTTTTTCATCTCTCTCGCCTCATTTTCACCTGTACCACATCAACTGCACCTTCTCAAGGGCCTGTCCACCAGGACACAAGCCTCCTGAAGTTAGTATTATAAGCAGGATAAGAATTTGTATTCTCAGCATAAAATAAGTAACACTTCATATCCTCCAAATGTGTTGAATGAAGATCTCTGCAGACTGTGATTGAGTTGTTATTGTCTGAACCGTGCCATTACATGCAGAGAGGCAATATCCAAGCCCTAGGAATGCCATGTCTGATAGGGACGTCCTTATGTGTCTGAGAACTTTCACCAGGCAGCCAACCCTAGTGTAGAGCAGGCAGCTCTGGGTCACAGTGTGATGCAATAGGCTTTACCTCAGACATGCTAGGACCCAGGTCAGCACAGGTATGGTCAGCCACACCAGTTGGACAGACCCTGATGAAGCCTGGACACTGAGTATGAGAGCTCATGTTGGACTTTGTGCTCTGTTCTCATAGCTGGCCTTGGCTGATTCTAATCTGTGTCTTCTCCCCATAATAAACAATAGCTATGAGAAGTACTGATACCTGGGGTTCTGGTGCCAGAGCAAAAGGTGTCTTACGAGAACTAAGGTACCATACTAGACCCCTAACTGATCACCTTGCAGGCAATTAACAGGACGGTATAAGTCAGAGTGCTACTCAGTCTCTGAACATAACCATCTTTCTGCTTGTTGTCAGACATAAAAGAAACACTGAAAAGAAAAATGCATAGAATTAAATTTGCATACTGGTTTAAAGCAATGATTCAGTCTTCATTTAAAGTTAGAAACAAATGTGTATATAAAATAAAATGTGCATAAAATCATAATAATTGAAGTGAACTTGGTGCCCAGGAAGGTGGGGTACTGAGGAAACAGCCTGGGAAAATAGGTTTTCCAGGGATGTTAAGTCTTAATAGGATAACATGCGTAAGAAGGATGCTCAAATATGTTAAAAGAGGTGACATAAAGAACAATTCAATGTCTTTCAGATGCAGGAAAGAGAAATCAGTGTAGTAAGTAGAAGAATTTTTTAAATGGAAAGTATCTGGTGACAAATGTTTATATTACCTGTTGAACAAGGATATAATTTTGAATGTTACTATGTAAACTAAAATCTGGAATTACAAAAGTTCTTGGAATTTGCCAAGGTTTTCAGTGCATTGCGATAAAGATTTAAATCCTTTTTTTGGCTACATTTGAGGAACTGCCCTCTCTGAAGTTGACTATCCTCCCTTCTGGGTGTCAGTGTGTGAGACAACGTGGTCACCAGCTGCACCTCACCTGTAACTCAAGGTCGTGCTCCATCCTCTCATTAGGAGTGGTTTTGGGAGGAACCTGCAATGGGAGGACCCTTGGTCATTGGAGGTGCCATAGTGGGGTTTGCCTGACCCCAGATGTTGGGAGGACTCTCCAAAATGGCATCTTTTTAGAAAACAGAGAAGCAAGTCAACTTGCAGGCTCCAGAGAGGGGGTAATTTGAGGCCTGGGAAGGAAAATTCCTGATAGAATTAAAGTAAGAATACGCATCGAGAGACCATGACCACCACATAACCCGGGGCCAAGGGGGCCCCATCAGCATGGCCTTTTGATGAGCACAGGAGTGAAGTCTGACTCTCTTGTGCTGCACATAGGGAGACAGTGGAGCAGTGTGGTCCAGATCTGAACTGAGAGAGCTCTGGCCCCACCACTTTACTGGCCTGTGACTCTTTCCAAACTCCATTTTTCACTTTTTTCTCTTCCTCCCCCTCCGAATCCTTCTCCTTCTCCTTTTTCCTCTTCTTCTTCTCTTCCTCCTCCTCCTCCTCTTCCTTCTTCTTCTTTTGAGACAACGTTTCACTATGCAGTTCAGTCTAGCCTTGCAGTTCAGGCTGGGCTGGAACTCACAGTGATCCTCCTGCCTCCACCTCCGAGGTGCTGGGATTACAGGTTTACACTACCATGCCTGGCTTTCATTTCTCCTTCGAGGGAGCTAAAAATATCACCTATTGCCTCTCGTTGCTGACTGTTCACTGAGATAATTTGGCTCTGCTCACTAAATTTTCTCAGCATGTTAAGGCCTTGGTTCTAGGGTCTGCTGATGTGAACTGAAACAGGATTTCCCTTTTTTAGAGCAAAACCAAAAATAACAAAAGTACAAGGGGCTTCCCCCCTCCACTGTTGATCCTCTTTTCTCAAGCAAATTTTGGGCCACCTTGAATCCAATTCTATTGCTGGCTCAGAATTTTTTTCTCATTGAGAAAATGCAGAACTTATCTGGTCTGTGGCAGGAAAAAGCCTGTTTTTCTTTAGGGGAAAGAGCATAGCAGTTTCCTTGCTGATCACTCCGCTCAGGCTGTCCCAGAGGTCATGGTGCTTCCCAACTGCTCAACCACCAGCCCCGTGGTGGACACAGCTGTGGGCACCCTTCTGGCCCTGGAGTGTGGGCTGGGCCTGCCAGGCAATGCCATTGCACTGTGGACCTTCTTCTTCAGACTCAAGGTGTGGAAGCCTTATGCCATCTACCTGTTCAGCTTGGTGGTGGCTGACCTGCTGCTGACCATCTGCCTGCCATTCTTCGCCGCCTTCTACCTGAGGCACAAGACCTGGGCACTGAGCCTCAAGTCCTGCCAGGTTTTGCTTTTCCTGCTGCTCCTCAGCCGAGGGGTGGGAGTGGCCTTCCTGGCTGCAGTGGCCTTAGACCGTTACCTGCGTGTGGTCCACCCTCGGTTCAAAGTCAACCTTCTGCCCCCATGGGCATGCTGGGGCATCTCGGTTCTTGTCTGGCTTCTGTTGGGCGCCCTCACCTGCCACAGCTTGTTCATCTCCACGCCTGCCTGGAATGCCACTGAGTGTCCCAGCTTCTACCCCATGACTGCGGCCTCTCGTGTCACCTGGCCAGATATGTTCTTCCTCCTTCAGCTGCTCCTTCCCTTTGGCCTCGTTGTGTTCTGCAACTCAAGTGTCCTCAGGACCCTCCAGAGGCGACTGCGAGAGCCTGACAGGCAGCCCCAGCTGCGGAGGGCCAGGGTGCTGGTCACCGTGGTGCTGCTGCTCTTCACTCTGTGCTTCCTGCCCAGCATGCTGGCCAGCGTCCTGGTGCAAACCCTCAGAGGCTCAGGAAGCTGCAGTGTCCTGCGTGTGGTGGTGCACACGGCTGACCTTGCAGGCAGCCTCACCTACCTACACAGCGTGCTGAGCCCGGTGCTCTACTGCTTCTCCAACCCGGCCTTCACCCACTCCTACCGCAAGGTGCTGGACAGCCTGCGGGGCCGAGGCAGGACAACCGGGGCCCCCAGCTTTGACAAGCCCTCCTACTCCTGATGGAGCTGCTGCCTCTGCTCCTGCTTACGCATGACTGCCTGGGGCTTAAAGAATGCTATGATTTTAGGATTGCAGAGGAAGGCAAATCATAGATACACTGTAGCCACAGCAAATGTTGTGATATGAAATTCCAGGATGCTTTTCTGCTATTTTACACAGTGAAATGGAAAGTCAGTTAACAATCAGATCCTACTTTGCACAGTCACAATGCAGGAAGTTGCCAAATGAGAAGCTACACTGGGAATAGACCTGGCTGCATCCGTAAGAAAGAGAGAAAGATTGAAAGCTGGTATTTCCTGATGCCACTGGGCTTGGCAAGTCATTTTCACTTTATTTTTTAGTTTTAAAATTATATTTATATTTTATGGGTATATATCTGTGATCATAATAATTACAGTCATCTTGGAAATTTGAATTGTGTTCATATTGTATCTCGGTTATTTTTACTTTTTATGCTTCCATTTGCTTTCTGTTCACCTGTTCACTGTGATAACTAATGTCAGGAATGCCTAGGCTCTAAAGAATTTTGAACTTTCCTATATTACTACAGTTTGTGCTCAGCTCATTTTGCCTGTAACATTTCTCTTTTTATAAAATTTTGCTTCATTTTTATAGTTTATTCATTATGGTGAAGACAATGTAGTTAGTTCCTTAGTTTAATATGAGAAGCACTTTCATGCTAAATTTCTCAAAATTGCCTCTCCCTTTCTTGCCGAAGTTTGAATTTCTAAATGCTTGTGAAGCTGGCTTCCCCTCCACTGGAGAAAAGTCTCCCAGGAAAAATATACAAGGGAGGATATGGACTTGCAATTGAAATGATCATTTCCCATCTGACCCTGAGCATAATGCAGAGGACACGGGAAGTGAGAGGAAGGCATGGTGCCTGGCGTCCACCCTTGGATGTCTTTGCAATGCTACACTATTTCATCTCATCCCTAGCAGATTACACTCCAATCCTGTAGCTCATAATATTTCCAAAATTACTTCCCTCTCCGCCACATCTGGAATCCCTGTGCATACCTATCAGGATGGGCAGAGCCCAAAGCACTCCCCCAAGGCTGGGCCAGGTGGACTGTCTGCCTGTAGCTCCACTTTCCACTCATCTGCGTGTCCCATGTTGTGCCACATCTAGAGACAACACTGACAGCACTGGCAGTAAGGAATGTCAAGCCATCTCCCACCCACCAGGCTCCCTCGCTGACAGCAGTTCCTCATCAGAATCCCATGTGAAATGCTGGAATATGCTCTTCCCCCTTTGCCAGAAAGTGTTGAAGAGGGAGCATGCTGTGTTCTTTGATTCTATGAAATCTGAGCTCAGCTGGCAAGCCTGTCTTCTCAGGCTCCCTTTCCTTCTAAGCCAGCACAGTGCCAAAGGGCTGCGCCCAGGTGAAGATGTGGGTGCAGTCTCTACCATGCCTGCTTTCTTCCCTTTCAGTTGAAAAAAAGTCCCCATTTTCCTTCCCCAGATCCTAATGCATACACAGTCTTAAATGCTGCTTTAAGAAACCTAATATTCTGCACAAACATTTGCTATAATGTGACAAAGCCAGCCAATTTGCTCTGTCAGAGAGGTTTCCTAACACTTGCCCTGCTGCTGGGCCCAAGCTTTGTGATGCGGCAGCTTAAGACACATCTGACATACTCACTGTAGCACACGTAGGGCACACTTACTGTAGGGCATGCTTAGGGTTTCTCAGCCTCGGGGTACCCAGGAACTTTGAGGAAACCCTGATGTCTGAGCCAACCCCCAGTCTTCTGATTCAGTTGGCCCAGCTGAGGAAGACCTCACCCAAGACTGTTAAAATCCCCTCCTTGATTCTACTAATAAGCGGTGAGCAGAACAGCCTGAGGAAGAGTGTCCTGCTCCATCATTTCTTAGCTCTGTCTCTAACTCTCCACTACTTTTCTTTTCTCCATTCACTTCTCTAACCAGACCATGAACTTGGGATCAGTTTTGACCCGTCTACTCCGATCACAGACCGGGCAGAATTAGATCCAAGGCTTACGACCTTCTTCCTGTCTAGTAAATCTTTTTGGGTGTTTTGTAGCTATTCAGTCTGACTCGTTTTATTCCTCACATCTGTGAAATGGGATATTTTTGGTCTACGATTACATGAACAGATGGGGCCTGCGCACCCAGTGCCATCCTGTCGCCGAGATAACGCCAGAGGTGTTGCAGGTGCTGTAACAGGGTGCTCACTCTCCCCTGACTTATCACCTACGGATAAAGAATGACCGCAGGAAACCGAGGACAGGACAGGTGCCACAACACGACAGGTCTCTGAACACAGCTGTTTGCTGACAGCAGCAGGTTTTGGTTTCTCCCTTCTGGGCCCAGCCACTCCCCTAAGAGCCCCGCTGACCTGCCGTCTGCCTGTCTGGATTCCGGTCCATCCAACAGCCAAGAGCCCAAGTTTCTATCTGAGTGAAGAGTTTCTCTTCCTTGCTGAGACACTGCTTTCACTTTTTCAAGATTCTGTTACTCTCGCTGTTTCTCTTTCACATCTTCTGGGCAGCTGCCCCTGTTCTGCAATGCACGGGTCCGCCAGATGCAGGGCATTGCCCAGACCGTTCCGGTCCCATCCCATGGCCCCACCAGTCTCTGTAGTTTCAACCCAAGATCCTTTTGCAAGAAACCTCCCGCCAACGATCCCACCCACATGCGGCCAGCAGTGACACCCAGCACCCTCATGTCTGCTATGCCCTGTCTGTGTTGTCCTACCCCACCAAACCCTCGAAGCTTGAAGGGGACAAGTCACCTTCAGACTCAACACTTTGCTCAGATCCTGGGTCACACTGGATATCTCACTGACAAAGGAAATAAATACATAAATGAAAGTTTAAACTTCACTCAAAGTCAACCAAAAAAACTTTATTATTTGATAGCTTGGCTTTTGAAAAGATAATCTGGAGGTTTGGATCCAGAGACAAATTTAAAAGGATGACTTTTAAAGCTGTCTAGGAAAAAGCTAGTACAGATAAAAATATACTGCTGTTCCTTACTAAAGAAAGTTTTCCTCTTTATTTTCCTAATCATATCTGCCAGTAATTTAACAATACTTTGGGTTTATCAAGGTCAGGAAAAGGAGCAATCCTGCCTTTGCCTTTAGGCTCTTGTGGAGACAGTGAAATGTGTCATATGACTTTCAGAGGCTTCCTGAAAACATGTTAGCTGGTCACTTTCAAAATGCCCCTTGTGTTTTGGGGGTAAGATACACATAACACACGGATCACCGTCATGGTGCCTTTGGGACACGCTTCAGGACACAGCTCACCATCATAGTATCTTCAGGACACACTTCACTGTCCTGGGCACCTCCACCCTTCTCCAGAATGCATCCTACTGTGTGAAACTGAAACTGCCCCGCCCACACTTACCACATCCACCTCGTTTCCATGTCACCATCTGAATTTCTGCCTCTGATGCTGACGATGCTGGGTACCTTACAATGGAAGCCTACAAAGCTTGTCCTTTTCTGGCTGGATTCTTTCACTTAGCAGAGTGTTTTCAAAGTCCATCCATAACATAGCATCCATCAGAATTTCCTCCCTTTTGAAACTAAGTGACACTCTCCTGCACACTTAGACTGTATTTGGTCTATGCATTCATCCACTGATGGGGCCTGGGCAACTTGTATCTTTTGGCTCTTGTAAACAATGCTGCTCTGAATATGACCACACAACTATCTGTCCAGATCTTGCTCTGAGTTTCGTCTGGCTCAGACGAAACCTGGGCTAGGTGGCAACTCAGTTTTTAACTTTTTGAGGGTTCGACATGCTGTTTCCCACAATGACTGGTGCTGTTAAATTTGGTGTCTAGCAAGGGCTGTTGACTGCTTCAGAGATGGGGTCCTGTTGCTGGGTCCTCATACAGCAGAAGGGTCAGGGTGCGCCCTCGATGTCTTCCTTAAGGGCACAGTCTCACCCACGAGGGTAGAATCGTCATGACGGTCACTTCCCCCACAATCACCCCTCTTCGCTCTATCTTGCTGGGTATCAGGTTCCAACACAGATTTGGGGAAGTGGGAAACTAACCTTCAAAGTGTAGCACATTTCTCTCCATACTGTCTTTCTCTGGCTTGTTTTTGCTATATTTTGATTTCCCTTTTATCCTGCTATGTACTGGTAAACTTACTCTGTGAGGGAAAAAAAAGAGCCATCATTTTGATTTGTAGCATGTGTTTATTTCTACGGTGTAAATCCTTCCCACTGTGGCTGATTTTAAGCTACCGATTGTTTTGAGAACTGGTTTACCAAATTCCTGAGCTCTCACAGTTAGCTCTCAGAGCACGTGACCCTGCCTCTCTTCGCAGTCTGTTCTTCAGTCTCTGAAAAAGACATATTCTGCTCTCTGCCCGGTGTCATCTACGCAGACAAGAATATGTGGGACAGAACTGAAATATATTAAAGCAATGTAAAGACTTCCTTGCAGACCTTGTATGAAAGTGTTCATAGTGCCCTGGCAAAGAGACCAGACCCAAGGGTTCAGCTGGGGAAGCATGAGGAGCGTCTGGTCTTCATTTCCATTTAATCTCACACAGCCCTGCTTCTGGCCCCTCTGGGAATCTTGTGAAAAGGTTCTGCAGTGAAGCTTTTTTTCTTACCGACACCCAAGGCCAGCATCCCCATCACAGAATCCAGGTACCCTGATGCCCAGGAGAAAGTGAGTGAACAGCTTGAGGAGTGAGTTTATAGTGAATGGAGGCTACTGAAGACAGCGGCTTTGGCTTCCAAAAATAAGACAAAGCAACACAGAGCGGCATACAGGAAGCAGTTCCTCTTCCCTTCCATAGAAATTTGGGACCTGAGAAGAGCAGAGCTCCAGAGACCCGGCCATGGAGGGACTCAGGAAGCTTGTTCACCAGCGCTCTTGGTAAGCGTCTGCATCACGGGCCAGAAGGAGAACAGAGCTTCAGAGATCCAGCTATGGAGGGACTCAAGCAGCTTATTCACCTGCCCTCATGTTAAGTGCCTGCAACGTGGGCCAGAAGGAGAAGAGAGCTCCAGAGATCCGGCCATGGAGGGACTCAGGCACCTTATTCACCCGCCCTCTTGGTAAGCACCTGCAGCTTGGGTCCAGAGGAGAACCATTACCTGGGAGCCTACTGCCACGCGGGCTGAAAATCAAGCACCCTTCTCCCTCCTGCCCCTTCCCCCCTTAGCTACTGGGGATAGGTGTTTCAACATCTCTTGGGAGGATGACTATATGCAGTATAGCAAATATGGGGGATTTCCTTCTATCTTCTGTTTGAAGGTATAGGCTGCTTTCATTGTTATGTTTCTTTTGCTCTATTCAGTATTCACAATTGGTTTCATAATGTTCTATTTTTGGTTTGATTTTACAATACGTAATTGACTGGACAACTATTGCTAAGTTAAAGAGATGTACCATAGTACTTATTATTACCATCCCAGTATCCTACAGTGAAATCCTGTGCCAATTTCACTGCATTGTCTCGATTGGCTTTGTTCTGTCTTGTGCTGTTGCATTTTTACTACTTTCAAAATTAAAAAAGAAAGAAATACATGTTAAGACTCATGCATGTGTAGAATCTATAAACAGTTTATGAGAACCGATATCATGATAATTGATGAAATGAACAGATACTTTGAAGAAAAAGAGACAGTAAAATACTCAGTGCTGATCCTGGAGTGTCATAATGTGAAACCCAACAACAGTGTTATTTTTTGTTCAGAGTGATATTAGCCTGCTTGGATTTATTCAGTGTCAACATAATTGAAGATATGGGTAACTGCATGTATGTTTAAGTGTATAGGGTTGATAAACATATTTCTAAGTTTTGCTAGATAATTGAACAAAACTGATTGCGATCTCACTGTTTGAATCCCCACTTTATATGCTCCACTTTAGTATCTTGAATAACTATTTGTAAGAAGACAATCTGTAATCATCAACTAGTGCTTTCTTACTGCTTGTTTTTTTCTTTGAAATTATGTATTATTTCTACCCGTTTTCTGTTTTGTTTAGTCTTTCTTTAAATTCAGTTTTAAAAAGAAGACACTACAGTACCCAGTGCTGATCACAGAGTGTCATGATGTGAAATCCAGCAATACTATTATTCTTTGTTCAGAATGATTTTAACCTGCTTTACTTTGTTTAATCTAAACATAAATGAAGATATGAATAACTGCATGTATGTTTAAGTGTATAACATTGCAACCATGTTACTAAGCTTTTTTTTGGACAGTTGAACTGTTTGCAGTCTCTCTGTTTGAATTCCCACTTTACATGTTCCATTTTTGTACCTTGAACAACTATTTGTAAAACAAAACATCAACTGGTGATTTCATACTGTTTATTTTTTTTTTCATAGAACGTATGTACTATTTCTACCTATTTCCTGTTTTGTTTAGTCTTTCTTTAAGTAAAAAAAAATTGGGGACCCTAAACAGACAGTGTAACCATGCTGTCTCGGTGCCTGAAACATCTCCATTCTACTCCTGTACTCAGAGGCTCCCGATACAATGGTGCCTGTGTATGTTGGTGCCAACAGTCATCCCTGGGGGGCTCCACAAGGCTTCAGGATCAAACATGTCTGTATGGGAAACACTGGATTCTATGCCATCAATAGATTCAACTCACTCTGCTCTCTATAATGAACAAGTTTTATAGCAACTACTGCCAATAAAGGGAATTGATGTTACTCTTGGACAATGTATTACAAAACAAGAAAATTTATGAATCAAAAACATGCTAATGGGGCCAGGAGTTTAACTCAGTGGCATAAATGCCTGCTTGGCAAAGGCGAGGTCATGAGTTCAATCCGCAGAATAACAACAAATAATGCTAACCAAAAACTGCTATAGGATTTTCCCTCTTATATTAAAAAATAAACAATAACGAGGGGTAGTTTTCCCTTTTGGTTTCATTTTTCTAGTCAAGGATGACAGCATTAATATTCCACTCAAACTGTACTCATCCTCCAAAATAAATCCATGAAATATAGCACAGTGGGAACTGAGGGAAAGGCTGGATTTGCCTGTAACCTCCACCAGGGTGGCAATGTCCACCCACCCACTGGCCTTCTTCTGCATGTCTGTCTCACCAGCAGGTGCCCGGTGCACCTGTCTCACCATAGAGTGACTCCATCAGGAAGCGCACTGTCCTGCACACTCACGATCAGTGCTCAGTGTGCTCACTCCACAGTTAAGGAGCTGGGTCCAGAATGGGATGCCTCACTCACCTTCCTGCCTATCAGCAACCCTACAGGGATTCCCTTCCAAAACCTGGCCCCAGCTTCTCTCCTGTTTACTCTGGAAAGCTGGCGGTGGCATTTGTGGGCAGGCAAGCAGCTGTCTGCTGCTGAAAATCTCCTACCAACTTAAATTGGAGCTGCAGCCAGAAACTAACTTTGTGCTCCACCCCTTTCCCAGGGCCTTTGCTGCCAGCAGAGGAAGCAGGACTTCACATCATCCCCCTCCTCCTGTCCCACTGTGCAAGTACTCACTGGACATTTGGAGTGAAATGCCACTTCCCAAACAGCTCTTAAAACTCTGGAGGGAGGACAGTTAGGATAAAGAAAAACATGATGTAGAAAACTGAGGCCAGGTGGACCCTCTCTGCTGATGAGAGAAAGGAACTGCTCAATGACTGCAGTGTGTTTATTTATACACTCAGGGGTCTATTGTCAATGAAACAATGAAACAGTTGTCTGCAGAGCAACTTGTTAGCTTGGTTCGCCTCAAGTACCTCACATTCTTGAAGCTGGAACAGCTTTTTCATATGACTTGCCTCTGGTGGTCTGTGTTCTGATGGGATGGAAGGTGGTCTGGCTTTAGCCTAAACAGGTGATTGAGCCTCAGATTCAGCCACTCCCCACAAAAGAGACACTTGTGTCACTCTTTGACATGTGGGCCACTGTCACCGTACAACTCTGGCAGTCTCTAAGGACAGCTGTGTGTGGAGATGGAACCCAAGGTTCCCTGCTCCTTTCTATTGAGGCGTCCCCTTCAGACCAGACTTCCAGAGAGGGAGACAAAGCAGAAAGCTCCTGTCATCCCTGGCAGTCTGGCTGCTGGTCCCTGAAGGTACTGATAAGGTAGGAACGCACCTCTCTGTGTTTGGGCATTTTAGAGACTCTTCTTCAGTAAGTGTGGTGGTTTCCCTTCACCGATCAAACATCAGCAGAAGGTTTTCTGTGGCCATGATAATCATCGGTGACCAGCTGACTTTGAGTCAGGCGGATGAACTGCCATGAGGTGTGTGGACCTTGTCTAATCGGTTAAAGATTTTCGGACTTTCAGAATGTTGGGATTTCCTGGAGAAGGAATCCTGGCCGAAGCAGAGAGGAGAGGGCTTCCAGCCTTCCCACATGCTCTGCGTGGATCAGGACTGTCAGTCCTTTAAACAAATCCCTTCTACGATGAACCTATACCACTTCTAACTGTTCTGCTGCTTAGGGGGATCCCTGATGGACGGTCTCGGTGGGGAGAAACTTTCCTATTCTCCATTATCCTAGTTTTGTGCCGGCTCCTAGTGCAGATGCCCAAGGCTTACTGTTATCACATTATTTCCATTTTTATCACCTCCTGTGCCTCTCATCCACACTTTTCACGCCTTTGAATCTCAGACTTTCTCCTCCTTCACCCAGCATGTCCTCCAGCCTTCAACTCCCTTCGCCTCCCCGGGCTCACATCTGTACACCTAGCCCAAAGTTTCTTATATGCTGTGGTCTTTAGAGCTTGTGGCATTTGGCTTCTGAATCATCAAGCTGGATGATTCTCACACTATGTGACATCCGTTCTACATTTGTACACTGCTATTAAAAAACAAAAATTCAGCAAGAAAAGGCAGGTTTCTTTTTGACTCCTGGACAGAGCCTAAAACAGTGCAAACTGCTGTTTTTGCTGTATATCTATATTACACTTTTTTTCTTTAACAAAGAAATTGAAGCCAGCTTATCACAAACCTACTACCGTGTAAAATACACCTGAAACCAACTGACTCTGCTTGGTGCTTTGGCTGGCCAAGACACATTAAGGATTCACTTAATGATGGTAGTAATTGTGATTAAATTTTAAAACTACTGGCAAAAGAAATCCCACTTAAGTCCAAGCAGCAACCTGGGGTGGGAATATACTGGATGTTCTAGAGACAGGATTCCGCTAAGCTCAGGAGGGCTTGGCACAGATAGGGAAACCGAGGGCCAGAGTTTTGGTTTCTAATGTGCACATAAGTGGTGAGAAACTCATGTGGAGGAAATCCCCAGCTCTTCAGGGCTTCCTTTTTCTCATTTTCCATAAAACTCTGGCGTGCTCAGACATCGTTTTGGAAGGGCTTTGTTACAGTTACATCACAAGTCCGTTATATCTGAAACGTCCTACCTATAGCATTGTGCTACCCACAACACATTAAAAACAATTAGAGCTTTTTAAAATCCCCAAACACCTTGTTTCTTTGTTTCAAACGGTAGAATTCTAGAATTTTAAGAGCATGTTTCCTAGAAAATGCGTTGGCTTTTCCTTTTATCAAAGCTGTTAAAATCAAAGGAAGGAAGCAAAGAGTGAAAATGATGTAAGCGAAGCTTCCTGGGTGCCACAGCGTCTCTCTCTCACCACCTGTGAGAAGGTGGGGGGCTGGTGGAGAGGAAAGGAAGTTGTTAGTAGGGGTGGACTAAGGCACCTCACCCTTCATGGGAGAGGTGAATGGGGGTTAAGCCTCCATCAGGAGCAGGAAGAGGCTCTGTGTGCATTGCATCTCCACTGGGAAGCCCCATCTGGGGTGCTGCCTGCAGGTGGGTGGGTACCTTCTCTCAGTTCTGCCCATTTTCATGGAAATTTCTGAAGTGTTGCCCCTGAGTGGCTCAGGCTGTCCTCATCACCACAGTAATCATAACCAACCTGCATGATCTCGATAAAACTGGTGTGCCCCAGCATCCTGTGTTCAGTGAGGAAATACAGGTAGTGTCGGACAATCTCCTGCAGAGGGTACAGAAGACAGAGCTGCTGTGCACATGACATCCTAAGAAAGACTCTATGCTGATTTCTTCAAGAAATATCCCATTCACAGCCAATGGGTCTGAAGCATGTGCCGTTCCCTTCGGTCCTCACTCAAGGTCTGGGCTTGTGATGCAGGCTGGGGTACCACTGTACTGTTGTCAGGCAGGATACTTGCAGAGAGAGAGAAGAGCAGGAGTGAGCGGTAATCTTATAGAGGGTGGCAATTCTAGGAATGGGGAGAGTGCTGTCCTGCTTGCCACATTGGCAATTTTGAGAGATGTCCCCTGACCAAAAATCCACACGTTGGGGTCTATGACCAGGCACACGGAATGGATGTGGGGAGTCTGCAGGTGCATAGTGGACATCCACAGAGTGCAGGGGGTGCTGGCAGTTGATCATGACTTAGTGTACTGAGGTCCTGAATTCAGCACTGTGAGTAAATGGGACCACAAGCACAGTCTCAGGCCACTAGTCAAGATGGCCATAGAAAAAACTCTAGAGTGCCCTAGAGAGCCAGGGCCTATTCTGTGAAGGAATCAGACTAGTGTGCACTGAGGTCCAGCCAGCCGCAGAGAGGATGAGGGGGCAGATGAAGATGAGATAGAGCAAAGGATGACTAAGCATATAGAGGCCGTGCAGGACCACTGCCGTGGAAACTCCACTGGGGCAGACTGCAGGGGCCCTGAGAGGTGGCCCTCAGCACACCTGCAGCCTGAGCTAGCATGACCCTTGCACAGGCACAGAATCATACAGGAAGAGGAGTGACCATTTGGAAGATGCACCTCTGAGAGAAAAAAGGAGTCATAATATGGGGTGAGGAACTGTGATGGGGACCTTGCTGTGGAGGAAATAGAGGCACAACCATCACAAGAGCTGAGCCCTGTGCCTTGGGTCCAGTGCCACTGAGGTCAAGGACACCTTCACGAATATAGTTTAGGGGGAAGACAGGACACAGGCCATATGCCAGGGTCCAGTATAGATAGTGGACACTGACTACAGAGGGGACAGGAGGAGAAGAGGAGGGCAAAGAAAGAATTGGGGGTTTCCTTGCTTGGATGGCCAAGTCTTGGATTCAATCTCTGGGGCCAATAAAAAAGCAAAATAAGAAAAAAATAAAAAAGAAAGAAGAGATGAGAAAAGAAAAGAAAAATAAAAGAAGTGGAATTTTTGTGTGACTCTTCATTGTATTTTAGTATTAAATACCTACAACAAAATGTTTTTCTGCCCGATCACTCCAGAGGGAGCCAGCAGAGGAGGGAGTGTGTGACATCGCGGTGGGGAGGGACGGACCAGACCGGATGGCATCTGTTGCAGGAGCCCAGGACCAGGCAAAATCTCCTGCTTCACAGGGACCAGAGGACCTTGAACACCAGGATTCCAGATGGCGATAGCAGTTGCACAGCTGCCATCTGGTGGCTCTCTTCTCCTTGGGTAAGTGACAACAAATCGCAGCAGCCCAGCGTGAGCGGAGCGGAACTGAGCAGCAGGAGACTGAGCAGATAAGCGGGGAGGCCCTGCCTGGTGGTTTAGCATAGAGGATGTGAGCCACAGAGGAGTGGGAGGAGAGGAGCCCTGACGCGTGGTCTGGACTTGGAGTTTCCAAGTACGTGGAAGAGGGAGAGGAAGAAGGGAGAGCCCTTTGGTGCGTTCTCTGCATGGTGGGCTGAGCAGGGGGTGGGGGTGGGGGGATGCCCTGTGAGGTGTCCTCTTCACACGTGCAAGATGGGCTCGGTGCAGACATGTGCGGAGGATGGCCTGGACAGTGGAATGATGAACACACGGGGTAAGCGCACACAAGGATTGCAGTTCTTCCTGGGGTAGGAGTTTCTGGCCAGGGGAAAGGTGAGAAGGTTTTCACTCTAAGACTGGTTCGGCTATTCAGTTTATAAGGCTCTAAAAAGTTCTATAAATGTAATATATTTGCTTATCAAAATAAGCGCTTAAACTTGCTCCCTGAGCCATACCGGGGAAGGCTCTCTGCAGTGTTGGTTCCTGCCGCCAGAGGGCAGCAGCGCGTGGGCGGGCTGAGGCCGGGCGCTCCTGGGCCTAACCTGGGAAGGGCCACAGGACTGCGGACCTGCACGAAGACTGCGCCAGCTTACAAGGTCAGAAAAGTGCACAAAGGTGTCATCTTAAATCCAAGATTCCAGTTCATCTTTCAAAGCAAGGCAGAAAAACGAGATTTTCTTGTTGAAACGTCTCCACTAATCCTAAGCATACTGCTGGGTGCACTTGGAGAGAGCCATCAGAGAGGAAGGGATGAGGGAGGAGAGACCAGTGGGCACAGCCGGTGGGGCACAGGGCGTGCTGGGTAGCCAAACTGGTCTGCAAGTCGCCTCTATCCCCCAGGTCCTGCTTTCAGAAAGAGCAGCACGCATGTGAGGGTAGAGGTGGGGTTCCTATCTTTTCTCAAACGTTTTCCCAGCATCTCCCCCATCTCACACAGTATTAGGGTGACTCCATAACCTCATTATTATGTGGAGGCGAGCCTGGGAGCACAGTGATTTATGCAACATTCAGGTTTTGCTTTTACAAAGATAGGAAAGTCTCCAGGTGGGGGGACAGCACTCCGCCAGCCATCCTGGACCGTCTATAGGGACTCTCACTGGAAAGAGAAACAAACCAAGGTCTTGGAAAGATCCAGGTCTTGCTGGTTGTTAACATGCACATGGATTTCCCTCGTGCAGCAGAGAATTGTATTAGAGTACATGTCAGATCCAGAAATAAGGAATCTCTCTGAGCTCTGCAATCTTGGCTGGGCAGGGCCGCACTCACCCCTGCCTGCACAGCTCCATTGCATGGCAGTGAACACAGAGACATCAGGCACCTGAGTTCCTGCGAGTGACGATGGAAGTTAGAATCCACCAGTCATGCGCCACCCCTCCTCCCCTCCACCCCGTGGACATGCAGATCCAGTCTGGATGCATGGATGTCACCACTCCCCAAGGGGCACAGAGGCTCTAGGGGTTGGATTAGGATGGTAGACAACCTCACAGGCTGAGACTGCCCTTTCCATACAGAGGGCTGGGCAGGGAGCGTCTTGGCCACCCAGCACCATCTCACCTGCTCTCTACTGCCATAACTAAGGTCCCTGGAAGGAAAGAGACATGGCCACATTGAAGATGAAAGCAACCCGGGGGGTGAGGAAATTCTATATTCCTGCAGGAGATGTAGAGGGAAGAGAGAGAAGCAGTCAGGCAACCCCTCCTCTCCAGGCAGGGTCAGGGAAGAGCTGACCTCAGGAGTCTGAGCTTGGAGACCTTCAGAGAAGGCGCTGGGCGTCACACTCCATGACTGTCAGCTAGAAAAGGTCTCCCAAGTGACCACCTTTGTTATCTTGGGGGAGGGGAGGCTTGTGCACCTAAGAAACTGAATGAGATGAATACTTGAAATACAACCTATAAGAAAGAAGGAAACTATATAGAACTGAATTTTTACATGCTTAAAATTAACTTTTATATGCAAAATTGTTCTGTCTGCAGAAGATCATTTGTACAGGCTGGTTTGTCTCCCAAAATTCTTATGTTAAAGTCCAACCCTTCATATCTCTGAAAGTGCTATATTGAACATAGGGTTCCAAAGATGTGTTAAATCTTAAAGTGTATTAATGATGCTTTTAGTGAGGTCCATTGTGACTGGTGTCCTTGTAAGAAGTCATGCTCACAGAGAAAAAGTCATGTGGGGACTCAGAGAGGATGCATCATCTGCAAACCTCAGGGAAAACCTGCTCTTGACACCCTGCCCTCCGACCTCCAGCCTCCAGGACCAGAGGAAACAACTCTCTGTCTCAACAGCCCAGTCGATGGTATGTGTGATGGCACCTCTGGCTAGCTAACAGGCTAGTAGTACACTGTAAGTGTGTATTTGCATTCATATAGAACAGGTGTTTTAAAATGATTTAAAATTGATTCTGTCTGTCCTCAGAAACAAGTCAATGTTTGACTTACAAAGTGATACTCAAATGCCCAAGCTTTCACCTCTGCTATAATTTATATGAAGTAAAATCTCACTTACCCAGAAATAATTGATTGAAATCATTTCAACTTCTCTGTAACAGGACTGAGGAAAAACTGTGTTCTGGTCAGCACAAATGGATGTGATTACATATAAACACATACATGCACACTTATACACTATGCATTTGTGATAAATATATCAATGTGTTATTGTTTAATTAACAAAACCCTGTAAGACCTAACTCATTGTCTTGACAGTACACAGCTCTGACAGGGGTCACTGACCGACTCTCAACTCAGCTGTGGTATGAGGTTTGCAGGAGGCAGAGTACTGAATGTGGGCAGAGGAGGAAACAGAGGCTCACAAAGAGGAGATGCTCTGCACCTGGAGGAAGGCCTGAGGCTCATTAGGGAGTGACTGAAAGCCACTCGGCCAGGTTTTAGTGCAACCCATCCACTCCAGGGATCCAGCGCCCGTGCCCGAGCATGAAGGGACCACCACGAGCCTTTCCAAGGCCCAAGACAACAAGGAAAACAATGTGATATAACCAGCTGGTTCAAGAAGTACAACTTACAGAACATTTAAGAAACATGCTTGTACACATAGCTGCAGTGCTTGAGGGCTATTGTTTAAAGAAGCTGGCTTCATTTGTCTAGAAATCTCATTTATAGAGAAAAGCTTATTCCCAGTGATGCCAAGCAAGCAAGGCATTTCCGTACCTGCGATCAGACATCAGTCTCAGCTTTGCAGATCCTGTCCATCACCAGAGCATTGACTGCACTCCTCTGCTTTAACTCATAGAACTGAACACTAACAGATTAAAGGACACAAACCACCCCAAGTACCACACTGTCTAGGCAGTGGGTTCCTCGGGCTAAACTCTGAAGACAGAAAATGAGTCTTGCTTCACATAAGCACAGTTTTATTTTGCAAAGCCAAAACAATGCTTTAAAATATAGACTTTGTATTGTAAGACATCATTCTGCACTTTATAAAAAGTTAAAACTTACAAGAACCATATCAAGTTTCAAATACCACATTTGTCAGAGTTAAACATGTCAGTATTTTTCCAATTCATGTCAGTACTTTTCTAGTGTATGTTTGCATTTTTGTAATTCAGCTTGATATTTTCCACTTATATTCATGTATTTACATAGTACTTTAAAATCTAGAGTTCAAAATTGATGAGAATTGTTCAATTGGATGCCATTGCCAGCCTCAGACTGTGGGTTAAATCACATTAAAATCCATCTTGGAGATGGATACACTTCCAGCTGCACACTAGTTAATCTGAAGCTTGTAAACAGAATCACCAGCCATATATCCTTCTTCAGGCCCAGCATAGGAACAGAAGAAAAATTTTTCTACATTGTCTCAGTAAAGTTTCCTTCTGCTTTTAAAGAAAACAATCAGTTTATTTATTTTTTCTAAATGTAGCACTTCAAACTGCATAATAAGCTCCAATTTCATTGTGATGCATTGAACACCTGCTAAGCCCCCTTTTGTATGCTGAAAACTCTGCTAAAGTTGGGAAGCACAGCTGGAAACAGGACTGAGCACAGCCTGTGTTCTAGGAGCCCTGCCTTGGGGGCCTTCAGAGGAGATTCCAGTCACAGCGAGAGAAGAGGAAGCCTGGCCGCCTGTTAAAAATGGAGCTGCCCTGACCCTGAGATCAGTTGTCACTGACACCTGACCCCACACTGCTTTTCCAATGGGAGGACACTGAAGCTTCTCTGACTTCTGACAACCCGGTGCGAGCTGAGTATATCAAAAGGAAATGAGAGGACAATTACTGTTGCTTACAATTAGCAGCAGTAAACGCTTTGATAGCAAAATATGTAACATATTTGCCTAATATAAGTTACAGGATCACTTCTAGGTATTCTTTCTTTCTTTCTTTCTTTCTTTCTTTCTTTCTTTCTCTTTCTTCCTTTCTTTCTTTCTTTCTTTCTTTCTTTCTTTCTCTTTCTTTCTTTCTTTCTTTCTTTCTTTCTTTCTTTCTTTCTTTCTTTCCGTCTTTCAATTATACCATCTCTTCCTATAACCAGGGGATTTTGTAGTATGACCACATCACAAATATTTCTAAAAATTTTTACATACATTAACAATTCACTTTAATTTAGCATTTCCCACAACCTGTTTTGTGGGAAGGCAGCCCTATGAGCTTCCAGAACCACAAATGTTTCTTCTCAAGCAGATTTAGGGAAAGCTTTTTTCAGACCCCCCCCCCCCACCTCCCACCACCCCATACAGAGATTTGCATGGCTGGGGCACAAGAAGTCATGATCTGAGAGTCACATTTTGTCTGATTTCCACATTTGTGTATTTGGCCATGAAGGGGTGTGTGTGTGTGTGTGTGTGGGTGTGTGTGTGTTATTCTTCAATTAGCAAGTTTCACAGAGCCGTTAAGGACATTTGACTTGCATGTCCTCATCACATAGTGAAAGATGACGCATTGTCATTGTCCACGATCTCACTAGTCTGCCTGGAAACGAATGCTTCTGAATTCAGCCTGGCACAGGGGAAGCTCAGCGCCTTGTGCTTTCTTCTCACACACCACATATCCTTCATGATCTTCAGGAAGTAGTTTCTGAACCTTTGACCGATAAACGCGTAGAGCACGGGGTTGAGGCAGCAGTGGAGGAAGGCCAGGACTTCCGTGACATTTTTGGTGTATCCCATGAGCTTTTCACTCCTGCAGGATCGATCCATTTTGCCCAGGTTCGCAGCAGTCATCAGAAGGAGAATATTATGAGGTATCTGGCAAGCCAAGAAAACAAGCACCACCGCTATCACCACACGGATGGCTCTGTGCCTTTTAGAATTCTGAGCCTGCACTAAGGTCTTGACAATGAACGTGTAGCAGAAAACCATAAACACCAGGGGGATAAAGAATCCAAACAGCAGCTGCAGCCCCAGCACCAGAAGCTTCCACATGATAGGGTCTGAGTCTCTGTTGTACCTGGGCTCACAGACATGGGCAACACTGCCTTGTATATTATATTTCTGGTTAAAGACAAATGTTGGGCTGGAGATGATCAGTGACAACACCCACACTGCAAGGCAGATTATTCTGCTGTGTGCCAGAGTCCTGGACCGGAACCAGAAAGATTTGGTTGCCTGTACAATGGCAATATACCGGTCCATGCTGATACAGGCCAAGAGCAGCATACCACAGTTGAAGTTGACAGCGTAGATACCTTTCATCAGTTTGCACAATGCATTGCTGAAAGTCCATTCACCAGTGGCATGACTCACCGCCCAGAATGGCAGAGTAAGGACAAAAAGTATATCTGCTATGGCCATGTTCAAGAGATAAACGTCTGTCATAGACTTGGCCTTTTTATAAAAGGCAAAGGTGATCACCACAAGAATATTACCCAGGAGGCCAAACACACAGATCAAGGAGTATGCGATCGGCACGAACTTCCTGGAGAATTGCCTGACGTCCTCCATGGAGCACAGTAAGTCATCCTCATCAGGTGTATAGTACACAGTACTAACTGAGTCAGAGTACTCCACGAAATAGATGCTATTGTTGGAATTTGCTGATTCCTGGGAAGTAAACAAAGATATAGCTAGCCATAGTACAATATTCAAGTAGCCAGCAGTAACTGAAATTATACTTCCTATAAAAAATAAAATGGGCTCACCTCACCCATGGTGATCCTTGCTCTGAGCTAAAGATGCAGGCCTGGTAGAGAAAAGGAATGGATGGTTCCCTGTGCCAGCTCACCAGCAGCAATGACAGGAGAGCTGGGAGTTAGCTAGGAAGAAAGACAAATGTGCTGAGGTTAGGACAGCTGGAGAAGTGAACCACAGTAACTCTATCCCAGTGGAGCACAGTGCAGAGCCCACGCCGTTACATAACAATACCCATTTAGGACAGGTGTAGCAGTCTCTTCTGCAAAAGGCCAGACAGCAGATATTGTAAGTTGCACAGACATATGGTGTCTGTCACAGCAGCTTCAATCTGCCTTGGGAGCTTGGGAGCAGATTACACACTGCATGAATGAATGAGGCTGACCATATGTGGTTAGCCACCGGTAGTGTTTTACCAATCTTTGACCTCTGGCTTAAAAGAAGGGTCATACTAAAAAAACCACAGGTTTTGACCTGTAAAAAAAAGTCTTCATGAAAAACTTAATTTAATTACATACAGAGAGATTCTACAAAACCTAGAGAAATGTGGATGTGCACAGGAATTGAAATTCATAGTCCTGGACATAGTTCAGTGATTTTTTCACTCTTGATGTTAGAGTGCCATGGGAGGTCACAGGTGAGTGTGGGATCCGGGTCAAGATGCCATAAGTCCTTTGGCCTGGGACTGAGTGGGCAGGTGTGAGATGTTACTTAACAGGCTCAACTGTTCCAGTCAACAAGTGCTGATGTGCTGGGTAAGGTGGATTGCCACTGTCAGAGACAGGGTGCAGGGAAGGAGCCTGAGATTGGTCGATAGGAAAGCTTGTGGGAGGAGGATGTCCCTGAGGGCAGATGGCCTGTGAGCAATAGATCTCCCAGTGAGGACACCTACTGCAGCCCAAGCAGAGGAGCTGAGGTGGTGAGCAAGGGGTGTTTGTGAGACAGGGGCACCACCAGCTTGGAGGAACCAACTGGGTGTTTACTCAATCTCAAAGTATGTGATGTGCTGAGGATGTCAGTGGGGATGAAGCCAGCTAAAGGGTAAAATTGCAGCATGAAGAGGATCTGAACGTGAAGGATTTTGAAATCTACCATTCCCTTTATTTTTGTTAGTACGTCTTTGCAGTATATAATCATTATATTCTTGTGGAAGTTGCTACATATATGTAACACACCTTAATTCCTTTTTTTCAGTCTCCCTCTCCTTCTCTCCCTTTCCCCTCCCTCCATCTCTTGGTCCTGTTTCCTTTTCCAGAAAAGAAAGAAAGAAAGAAAAAAAGAAAGAAAGAAAGAAAGAAAAGAAAGGAAGGAATTCCCAACAAGGAAAAATAAGTTAAAGGAAAATATCTTTGCTACTCTGACTCACTCTCCTGTTTTTGCTATTTATCATCCTGCTTTCCCCTCTCCATATGTGACCTGTAACTCTTGACCACTGTGTTAAGTTGCTTTCCAGCTACTCACTTTGGCTGTGGGGGCCTGATGATGTTAGGCGGAGTGAGACCAGAAGCACAGCCTCAAGGACAGGTGGGGCGCTGCCACACCACCACACTGCGCCCCACCAGTCCTATACCCACACGCAGGAAGGAAGTCAGAGTAGGATAGCTCACCCTGAATGACATTCTGAACACCTTTCTCACAGATGCTTGTTCTTATCTTGGGTTTAGCGACTCTGTTTCTTCATGAATACCTACAGTCACATGTTGGAGACTGAGTCTTTACTGCCTTTTAGCCCCTGCCTTGGGCATGACTGGAGAAAGCTATAGAGTCATCTCAGCACTTTGCAGGTGCCTGCAGGTGACAGATTAGAGTGCTTTAGAGCATGCAGAAGCAGAGCCCAGAGAAGGCATTTGCATCAGTGAGATTATCAGATTAGACATGGCATTGAAGCACTATTATAAGCACACAGCCTCCAGGCACTGTGGACCGGCCGGGCCCCACTGCACCCCGCTACATTACAACAGTCAAGGTGCAGTGCCAGCTTTCAGATCTCAGGTGATAGGGATCTCAGGCCTGTAGAACAAGTGATGTGAGAGATGATGAGCTCTTTAGTCCCCAGCATACTACAGAGCGGGCTGAGGGGCCCCAAAGAGAATGCAGTCTCCCCGAGCTAAGGTGAGAAAGGAGCCACATCCAAGAAGTTAGGAGAGCAGCCCAAGCTTATCCTCAAGAGGAAATGAGGAAGGCTGGAGGGAGAATTCCAAAAAGCATCGAGCAGAGGTCCCAGCTCTCCGGCTGCGGCAGCTCCCACCCTGGGGCAGCAGTGATTTTTCACTCCTAACTCACAGAAGCTGCACCATAGGAGCATGGGCTGGCACAGTTCTGCCCTGAATGTGGTCTGCACAGAGCAGAAGCTTGTAAGAAAGTCTCAAAGGATTCAGCAGATTCCAGGAAAATAACTGTGGTCACCAACAAGCCCAAAACTATGTAAAGAAATAAATTCACGTGAGTAAAATTTACATAAATTTAAAATTCATAATATCAGGCAACTAGCAGGGTATGATGGCGTATACCTATAATCCCAGCACTTGGGAGGCTGAAACAGTGTTGTTCCATGTTTGAATCTGGCCTGGGTTACGTAGTGAGTTCAAGGACAGCCTGAACTACATGGTGCAACCCTGTCTCAAAAGACAAAACAAACAAAATAAAAACTTAAAAAAAAATAAATCAAGCAACCAACCAGAAATGTCTGAACATTGGTAGAAACAGGAAACTGACCCATGTCTACAGGAAAAAACAGAAAACGGACAGAGATACTATAATTAAGAGAAAAATGTTTTGAATCACCACTATAACTGCAGTGCATATATTAGAAAACCTTGAAGAAAGCATAAACATAGTGAGAAAATGAATGGACCAAGTAAAGCTTCTTAGAAAAGAATACATAATATGTAAAATGAGAAATGTACTGATTGGGATTAAAATCTGATTAGACATTGTCATATGCATAAAATGACTATAATTCTATTCTCTAGCAACAACATTAGGTTAAAATATAGATGATGATAGACTGCAGATGCATAGAAGGCCATCCAAAAATGTGAAATGAAATACTTAAAGATATAGCCAACAAAATTTAAAATAAGATTTATGTGCTGAAAATTATAAAAAATTATTGAAAGAAACTAAAAGAGATAAAATGTTGGGGGTGAAATCATTTGATATTCAGGTGCTAGTTCTCCCCAAATTGATCTATAGATACAAGATAAAGAAAAATAAAAATGGCAGTTTTTTTATATAGAAATTGACAAATTAATTCTAAAAATTATATAGAAATTCAAGGGACTTCAGATATCTAAATATATCTTGAGAAAGAGACTCAATTGGAGACCTCTGGACGTGGAAGGGAAGCTTGATGGCCGTGGTGATGTGGTGCAGAAGGCCAGGGGGACTCATGCGGGGAGGGATGGGCGCAGGAAGAGACCACATGCCAAGGGTCGAGTGCCTTTAATAAGGTGCCAAAGCGGCTGGTGCAGGAAGAACACCCTAAAGTGGTGCAGGCACAACAGAATTTTCATATCCAAAGGTTGATCCTTGCCCTTGCCTCACACCATATGTAAAAATTAACTCAAATAGATTATAGTAAATGCCAAAGCTAGACCAAATATCTAAAAGAAAACACAAGAGAAAGTCTTTGTAATTACAGAAAGAAGAGTTCTCTTATATAAATTGCAAAAAAATTGTTAAAAAATGATAAATGATGCTTGATCAGAATTTAAAATTTCTGCTCTTTGAAAGACACTTGAGGAAATAGGAAAAAATCATAGAATTGGAAAATAAAATTTATCAAGTCAAATAGGTGCTAGTAGGCTGTATCCAAATGTGCAAAGAATTCTTAATATCTAAGATGATAAATATCTCGTTAAAAACAGAAAAAAACCTAAACAGATAGTTCATCAACAAAAATATATAGATAAAATTACACATAAAAAATGATGTTTAACATCACTGGGCATTAGGGAAATGCAAATTAAAAAGAATAGGAGATATTATTTCACACCCAAGAGTGGCTAAAATTAGACAGGCAAACAAGAAATGTAAATGAATATGTAAAGCAATCTTAGCTCTCCTGTTCGGTGGTGGGAATGAGGAAACACACTGCCATTTTGAGAAAAGTGTGTTAGTTCCCTATAAAGTGAGACACATACTTACCACAGGAACCACAAACTGACTTCTACATATTTTACCCAAGAAACATGAAAACATATACACTCAAACACGCAGGGCACTCATCCTGCCATTCCAGTCAGGAATAAGAGTAGATCAAAGGAAATTAAGGCACTGCCTTCCAAACAGGACAAGATCAAAGCCACACTTCTCCCTCTCTGTCAGCAGTGCCTCTCCATGCTGGGCCCCTTCCCAATGCCCTACCAACAGTGACCAGCTACCGAGCCTTCCCTGGTGCTGACCTCCTCCCAAGAGCGAACTGCTCTCCCACACCTCTCACTGTCTTGCTGGTGTCACCCCATGTGATAAACATGGGCTTTCCTGGCGTATTCTTGATCTAGAGGCTCATGTTTGTTCCCACTCCTGGGTCTGTCCTCACAAGACATTTTGTAAACATGTGTTGACCTCAGTTAAATACGATTTCAGAAAATATTATATATTGCAATGGAGGTTAAATTTTTTAAATTCCATATCTCTTTAGATAACAGGATGAAACCATTGGTTAAAATCATGTAGATGTAATGACGAACTGAATCCTGTTGAGGTTAAGAATCAGTGTTCTTGATAACAAATTGCTGTGGTGTTTACGTATATGCCAGGCTCCCGCAGGACCTGGAAATGATTCAGTGTGAAATAATTCAGACTACTGTGTTCACCACCAAAAAGCAGAGTGCCTTGTTGGAAGGAGATTTTATGGTAGTAGACTGACATCTGCGTCTCTATAGTATATACAGAGTACTAGACACGTTGCTCCATCACTCAGCCTTGAGCAGGATTTATCAGCTCTTTGGAAAAATAAAGTGTGGATTTTCTGTTATAAGAACTAAAATTTTGATGACAAAATTATTTAGAAGTTTTTGAATAGATATTTCTGTGCTTTAATGAACTGCAAGCAAAATATACTGGTATCCATCAGTGGTAAATGAGAGATGTAAGGAAGGGTGTTCGGTCTTTGGCCCATTTCTTGGTGAAGCATTGATTCAATAGCAGCAGCCACCCAATCAAGTCGTCTGGCTCTATCTTGACTTGAGACTGTTCACTTTCTTTCTCACATGTTCTCTTTCTTATCATCAGCTCTTATTTTGATGTCATTCGGTCAGATATAAAAAACAGATGCCTAACTGATTCTTAAAATGTCATTTGGCTTTGCAATTTAAAGCCTTCTTGTCTGGCACACGGCTGCTTTAAGTGTCATAGTTTTTGGTTCAGTGGCTCTCTGTCATGCTCACCTGGTAATCCACCTCTCACTGGACTTGCAGCCTTTCCAACTCACTAGGGTCTCATGAAACCACACTATGCATTGCATATTTAGATTACATGGCACTCATAATCTAAAATATCCTTAAGTGTTTCATTTGCCACAAGCCTATGCTTCACTGATGAGTTTTATGAAGGTAGAATTTCTCAACTCCTGCTTTGCTTGTCTCTACTCTGAAATAACATCTCAAGAGCAGTCATAGAACTTTGAACCCAGGTTGCCCAGTGAGCGATGCCTGTGGACTCCAGGAGGATGGAGATGAGGAAGAAGTGCTGTGGCTGGCTTACAGAAACAGAGATGAGTGCCTCTAATTGAGGGGTAACAGTTGTTATCCATCCCAGCAGGGTGCTGATGTTCATCATGAAAGAATCACAAGAGCCTGTCAAGGGAGCCACGAGTCTGGAGTCAGCATGAGTTTACCAATGATCCATGGGCAGACTGGTACCCAAACCATGGTTGTCATGATCTCCAGACTGCAGAGGAGGAAGTGTGGCAGACATTAAAAATCTCTGACTCAACCTGAAACTTATAAATAATGGGGAAAGTCAACTATATAATCTTGGTGCCAGGTCAATGAGATAGTTTGCTAGTTGTACATAAGATTGTTTGCTCATTTGGATGACTGTCCACATGGTACCCGTTAAGGGGCAGCTTGTTATAGACCCTTCTGATATCATGCTGATCTCAGCCTCTCAGCATGCTGCTCATTTTGTTTCTGTCAGTGATGGAGACAAACAAATGGAGCCAAGGTCTGAAGATGATGAGAAGCCAAAAACACAATATACTGGGTGACAGAATCGATGGGCAAAAAGTCAGCACTGAATCAAATACCTGGTGGGCACAGCCATCCACTCAACTAAACAACTATCTAGCTTCACTTTCATCCAGGCATTTCTCCACCTCTTCACCTTTCACTTTCAGACTTAAGAAGAGATGCTCAAAGCTAATACACCTGATTCAGCGCCTACGGTCACCAGAATCACAGCCTTAACGATGTCCTTGCGCTAATCAATGGGACCTGTGAACACATCACCTTACACAGCAAAAGGGACTTTGCAGGTATGATTATCCTGGCATGCCTAGGTGGCCTAGTGTAGTCACAAGAATCCTTAGAAGTAGAGCATCTTTCACCCTGGAGGTGGAAGGAGAGGGGACCCCAAAACCTGAGTGGGATTCGATTTCCTGCTGTAGGAGCCAATAGCAGAATAGAAGCCACAGCGGAGTGATGGGAAAGGCCCTCAGCCAACAGCTGACCTGAAAATAGGGATTTCAGTCCTACAGCTGCAGGAAGTATGCCCCGCTTGCACCAGGAAACACCCCCCTTCAGAAACCCAGAAAGATCAGTGATACCATCGCTTTGATTTTTAGCCTGACGACACCTATGTCAGACCTCTGACTTACAGAAGTGCAAGACAGTATAAGCTTCTGTCTTCATGGCAGCAATAGGAACTCACACAGTGCTCACTTAATGCACTTTGTTAAAATAAATGTACATTCATTTCTAGACCACGTTACTAAAACTACCAGGCTCTTTGAATGAGATAAGCAATTGTCCCAGAACCTCAGTTAAGGTTTCATAGTAATTTTGAGTTGTGCCATCGAGGACATGACTATTGGATCTGTGGATGTGTAGCAACCTTGACCACAAGCAAGTACAAGGGAGTGGCTTATCCTAGAAAATGAGAGGTCAGGTGGGAAGGAGATCACCAGTGCTTCCATGGTTGTTGTTTGTAAGAGGTCTGGGCTTCTGTTCCCTCCCCCACAAAAAAAAAAAAAAAATAGAAAGGTGCCCAGTGAGAAGAGATGATGTGAACACATTTTGGCATAGTAGAAAACATGACTGGATGATTTACCAAGGATGGTATGCTGTGGGGTGGCCCAGACCTCCATCCACCACTGGACAGGGCACACTGCAGAACAGAGAGTTAGCTGAGGGCTGCAAGCCTCCCTCCCAAGATGTGCGTGCAGGAACTGTGAGCAGGACCAGGCCTCCCTGCCGCATGCTAATTGCATCAACTAGTGCAACAAAGCTTGGGGACTCGACTGAAGAAAATGTGCTTTTCAGCAGAATACCCCCACACGGCTAGACTACTTCCTGCATGCACATCTGGGTTTCGGGGACTACTGGAGTACAGACTCCAGGAGATGGGAAGTAGTCACATGGACATCTTCTCTCTGGATGACATAAGAAGTGGGTGCAAAGTAGGAGCCTTGAGGGCAATGTTCGCACACCCTGTACACAGGGCTTCCTATCAGTCTGCAACCACGCACATTTTTAGGAAAACTGTCCCTGCCACGCTGGGACTATATGCGGCATACGTGCTATGTCTTCGGGGTTATTAGTAATGTCAAGTGTTGGGTAAGATCTATAGATTTTACAGATATGTTTTGACTAGCCAAAGCTCTGTGACTATGTTTGGGAACTAACACATCATAGGAAACTCAAATGACTAGATTGTTAGAAGAGAGTCACATTTAAATGTGAGTTCCCAGAGACAGTCTTCATAGGACAAAAAGAGGGAGGGATGAAGGCAGGATGAGGGTTTGTGGTTACATAATTTTGCAAAATGCCAATAACTACCTGCTTCTTTTTGCTGTCATGGTGCAGTTCATTTGTCAATGGCTTTTGGTGTCCTGCAGGTGTAACTCAGCGTCTCCCAAGTCTATTTACTACAGGACCTTTTGAGTCCTGCAAGTGTAAACAGTGAACAGGACCAGGACTCATGGCATCAACTGGTGTAAGAAACCTGTTAAAGGGGTTGGTGCAACAGAGAAATGGGGGAGGAAATGTCCAAGACTGGGAGAAAGCCACCCACAAGGGAGAAGGGCTGGCAAGAAGCCAGTGCCCACTGCTTGCCTCTGAACAAGCACCAACCTGCGCAAGAAGATGCAACGCAAGAAAAACATCGGGCATATTTATCAGAATATTATTAGTAAAGAAATCATGCTGAAATTTCAATTTGAAAACATTTAGTGTCAAGCTTAACAGTTTAAAACATTAAGTGAGACTTTAAGAGCATCCTTTAAAAAAGAGATAACCATACAAGACAAGGAGCAAAAACTAAATAAGAGTATGTATGTATATGACTTCACATTTGTGTGTGTATGTGTGAGTATTTATATATGAAAGTGTACATATGTGGCTGTTTATATGGGTGTGCATATGTGTAGTTGTATTCTCATGTATATTCACATGTGTGTGTACATAGGTATATTTATGTGTGATCTTGTGTGTATGTATATATGCATGTACATATGCTGTAATTTAAGTATAAATCATATACTGGGCACTAAGATCACTAATTTATATCTATTACCTTTTAACTTCACAATGGCATACCCATTTCATAGATGGGAAGAATGCATCCTGTCTACTTTTCATCATTGTCTCTTACTCACCATGTGATTTATTCTGCCTTATCAGGTGCTAGTGAAGTGCTGTAAAATTCCCACAAGATCTTAAATTATATATGTATTTTAAAGCCTATAAATATCAGAATTTCTTTTATTAAAATGATTCAATAAATGTATGTTCTAAATTTATTTGAACTGTGGGTGCACTGGTTTTTATACTTCTTTATAAACATCAGTGGAGCTGAAACTCTAGGCCAGCTTCCTTCTGCTTTTCAGTAAGGGTGGTTAGGAAGCCAGAAGGTTTTTTCCAATTATTGTTTACTGGTTTATATATATTTTTTGATTTGGTTTGGTCGCTTTTTGGGTTTTTGCTCACTTTTATGTGTTCTTATTTATCTGAAGACATTATATTTTTGAGCACCTTAAGCACATATTTATGCTATTATGCTTCTTGGCCACTGAGCTGGTCTCAGCAGTGTGTTCCCTGCTGCTGCTTGGTATTGGTGGTGACCAAGTCAGACTCACTATCATAAGGCATTCTTCGGTGGCCTTCAGTTTTAATGGCTGTGGCACCTGCAGCTCTTACCAAGGCTTTGCATGGGTAATACTGACTCTCACAAAGTTTTCCAACCCATTGGTCCTCTGAAATAACTCTCAGACAAGCTGCTGCCCACCCAGCCTCAGGATACCAAAGCTCCCCACCACTCCACAGTCACCCTCTGCTCTCAAAACATTGCTTAGCTTAATCTTCATCTTGTGTACTTGATCAAATAGAAAAATTGTATTTCTAGGGCTGAGGGTGCAGCTAAGCATGCGTGCCTGCCTAGCATGCATAAGGCCCTGGGTTCCATCCCCAGCAGTGCAAAAGAAAAAAAATTGCATTTTTCTTCAGCACAGCCTGACATCTCATAGTTTCTCCCTATGTGAGGAAGTGGGGCCCAGTCCATGGCCCTGGTTGTAGAATTGGCAGCAAAAACAAAAGCAGTGCCCTTGGATGGGCAAGGGTCTTCTCCTAAACCACAAGAATAGTAGGCTTAATTCAAGGCCAGCCTGGGCTACAAAGTGAATTCAAGACAAGCCTGAACTGCATAGTGAGACCTGTCTCAGAAAGACAAAAAAAAAAAAAAAAAAAGGAAGAAAGGGAAAAAAAATGGTAGGAAACTGGAAAGTTCTGGGTGTGCCATGGGAGCAGGGCCACTGTGCCGCATCCCAGAGGAACTATTCCACTCAGCATCCCTGTTGTAGGCTGGAGGATCGAAGAGTCTCACAAAGTTATGGAGGTAGAGTGTGGGGTAGGCATGCTCACCTCAGGAAATGCGCTGATCCCAAGTGGACTGTCCAGCTACACTCCCCTAGGTGGTTGTCTGGTCCCCCACATCATCACTGTGAGGACCGCTCTGTCAACGAGATGGAACTGACAACATTCAAGAGCAGTGAGACACTAGAATTGCCAGGAGAAAGTTGCTGAATTACCACTTCCTATTTAAAAGCAACACCTATCTGCCCAACTACACATGGTTAACCATATATATCCCAAAGGGTATAAAAAAAAATCCATGCAAAACAATCATGTGACTCTAGGCATCAAAGACAAAGCAATGGTAAAATGGGTGCAGAGGAAGAACCCAGCAGAGCAACTTCTCAAAAAAGAGAACCTTAAGCCAGGGATGATGGTATAATCCTGGAATCCTAGCTCTTCAGGAAATTAAGGCAGGAATATCACAAGTTTGAAACCAGTCTGAGCAACTTACTAACTTAGGACCCTGTCTCAAAACTAAAAATGAAAAAGAAGGAGGAAAGAGGTTTAGTGCAAAGGCCCTGGGTTCAGTCCTCAGTATAAACACACACAGGCACATACACACAGTTGGTAGTCAAATAAATACTCCTGGGAATAAGTGTTACTGTGAGCTAACTGGGAGGCTGTGGGAATGTTCTGGGTGCCTGGCAGGCATGGGCAGGTCTTGGGATGCCCCCCCTCATCTCAAGCTATGCAAACAGAGGAGCAACATGGACTCCTCCCAGACCACAGCTCCCCCTAGGAAATCCCCCACAGTGACTCATGAGGAATAGGGCAGAGAATGCAAGCGAAGCAGTGGGACGGAGCTGGAGGAGAGCCATATCCCACAAATGTCCCCCGTAGTGCTGTGCAGTAGGATCAGAGGCTTAAGTCCCTACCTGTCTAGACATCTGGCCTCTGTGACACAGCAGGTAAAGAGGTAAAGGCTGGGACCACTGAGTCATTAGACAGATGGAGGAAAGTAATGGATGAGAATTCACAGAAAACTCATTTTAGATATAAGCAATCACAGAGAGTGGGGTGGTGTGGGGGAGCTGTAGAACAGTGACATTGTTCACCCTGCGCTGCCCTAAACTGAGCCGCAGGAAGTGCAGAGAGCTTCACTGCGGAAGCTCTTCCCCTTGAAGCACCTGGTCTGCTTTCTCCACCCAGCTGTGCATGGGTCTCCACCACCCAGGGCTCTTGTCCCAACCCTACTTGGACCTGCCGGGCGCAGCCCACAAATCAGCTGTAGCAGCACAGCTACCATGTGCCAGCTGCGCTGGGACTTAGCCAGCTGCAGAGGGATCTTACCGTTTCTGAACCCCAGGTCACTTTCCAGAATTTCTTTCTCTTCCCACCGAACTCTGCTTGGGCCCATCAGCTGCTCTCCTGAATTCTTTCACTGGTCTAATCTTCTGCAGACCCGGTGGTCACAGGGTCACAGGGAACTACAGTAGATGTCTCTGTCTTCCATCTGAACAGAAGTCTCTTCTTCCTGAGTTCTGCTTCATGATTCTCTGACTGGGCCTGCAGTTTCCTGGGCTCTGGGTGGCTTGTCCTCTTTCATGTAAGAGGAGCCCCAGTTGTCCCTAGATGCAGAATAGAGCCGGGAGCACTTTCCTCCTTCTTTATTCCTTCTCCTCCTTCCTCTAGTATAAGCGTCTATTCTTTGCAGGAAGCAGAAAAGCTAGCAGAACTGCCCAGACACCCAGAGAGAAAGCAAAGCCCTCGCGGGTGTTTAGAGATGTGTACTTCAATATTCTCCAGCTCATTTTTGACCAAATACTTCCTCTCACCTCCTCCTTTCACATCCTCCTTTAGCATGAATGAGAGCCTAGTAGATTTCTAGCCCTTGAAATGGCCCGCCTGGGCCAAGATTATGCTAAACAGACATGTGGACCATTGTGCAAAGCACTCCCAGGCAGATACGCAGGACTGAGGGGACAGGATTGTGAGATCTCATCTCGCTTCCCTCCTTGGAAACAAGGCCCCATGCCCAGGCTGCAGGCAGGTGGGGAGGAGCTCAAGAGTGAATGCCTCTCTCTGTTGCTGACAGGGGAGGGAACCACTGAGGATCTGCACCCAGCCTTTGAAATCTTCCAACCAGAGTCCTGGGCCTTCGATTTGTGCCTCTGCAGATAAGGCTAGGCTGTGGCCACTTGGCCTCTGTGATATCCAATGTGTTCTTTGCCTGAGATGACAGCCAGTGGTTGCCTCATTTGTCAGTGTGTGAGGGTCATCCAGCTGGGTCTGACTTTGGGAAAACTTAGCCCATAGCTACCTCCACAAGAACTCCTCTGCTGACTGGTCAACCACAGCCATGAGAGAGCCAGTGTGTTGCCACCAGGATCCAAAGTAGCTGGCTAAGTTCTCTGCTGCTCGCCAGACACTCCAAACTTTGGAAATAATAAAGAGTACTAAATAGAATGCAAAATAAAAGTCTACTTCATTTATCTAATAAAATAAGCACAAATCCCCTCCAAGAAAGCTGGGAGCTAGAACAGGGGATGAGGGAGGGGGATCTAAACAGTGCCTTTGCTGGACGCCAGCAAATTGGAAAGACAGATGCTAAGCCCTGTGGTGCTCTGAGTGTGCCATGGAGTTTGGACCTGCACATTGTCCTCCATATAAAAATAAAGACTTCAATAAATTCCCCCATTAGGAACAAAAATCCATTTTATAGAAAGAGTTACAAGCTGTACTAGCATTCACATTTTGGAATTTACAAAGACTTCAAGTTGTATATCCTTTATGTTCACTGCAAATGCTACAGCTCTGGTAAGTTTGGCCTTAAACTAAAAGCTGTCCCCCACTGTAGTGGAGTGAGGGCATCAGCTCATCTCCCTTATCTGTCCTAACGGCACATGCAACATATACCTCAGACACTGGCAACTGTGCCTCACTGTGTCCTTAAAGAGTACACACAGCAGGAGAGTCAGGGCACAGACGCAGGACTTCCCAAAAGACATGCAGTGAGTTGGGGACATGTGTGATCAACTGTAGAGGAAAAACTCCTAAAACAGTAATAGTGCACCTTTTAGGGGTTGAGCGCCTAAACTGCAGCCCAAAACCTACTTACTTACTGAAGGGCACCATCACTGCAATTAAACCTGAACACCTACATTTCAGTTTAGAACAATCAACTGTTACCCAGTGCTTGATTCTGGGGCCACTTGGCTTGTATGCCTGCACAGAGGGCTTTGCCTGCCTGCAGCAGTGCGTGTACCCTATGTTTGCCACATTGGCCTAGAGAATGTTAAGTGCTTATAGCCAAGAGGTTCTATGAAGGCCTGTAGCAGGCCTATAAGGGAAGGGCTGGAGCTGAGCAGGGAGGATAAATCAGCCTGCTCAGGAACACACACCAGGAACAGAGCACAGGAGGGCAAGAGGCACTAAGGTGGACCAAACGAGAGCCCAGGAGCCGAGCAGAGAAAGATGGGACAAAGACTGGAACCTGGGTGACAATGTGAAGGTGTAGATATCCACACTGCGGGGTCTGGTAGCAGATCAGAGGGACAGGTAAGGAGGGCGCAGGAAGCAGGCACTCTTGTGCCAAGGACTCAGCCAGTGCCCACTCACTTTTCATTAATTGTCACCCAGGCCTTAATGGCACTGGGACTTTCACAGCCATCATCAGATCATGCACAAGAAAACAGAAACTTGGAAACATAAAGGTAATTCTACTTGCCTAGTACTGTGAACAGCTAGGGCTCAGAACCTTGTTTAACCCTGATGTTTATATCTTTCCAGGAGAAGCTTGAAGATGAAGTGATGTTTGGGAAACATTTTGAAAAATCAGTATAAGGAGCTAGAGGAGGGAGGGTCAAAAACAATGCTGTATTCCCCACTCAGACTGAAACAAGGAAAGCAGGACGAGGAACTTATCTGTAAGTTTCTAACTTTTTTCTACATAGAAGAAAAGTGTATACTTAGAGAAACTCAAGGTAAAAATAAATATCTGACAAACAAGCAATACAATACAACTTCAACTTTCTGAGCTAAAGAGGAGTTTCACTTAACATATGCAAAATGGGAGGAAGTCCAAGTCGGTGGACTGATGATTTGGGGGCAGTGTTCTGTTTTGTTTTTGTTTTTTTGAGACAGTCTCGCTATATCATTCAGGATGGCCTTGAATTTACTATGTAGCCCAGGCTGGCCTCAAACTGACAGCAATCCTCCTGCCTCTGCCTCTCAAGTACTAGGATTATAGGTATGTGCCACCATGCCCACTTCAAGGCCATTCTTGACATAGTTTTAGATTCTTATCAGCCATGAATTTGTTATTTTTTTCAAATTAATCTCTGCGTGTTGATCTCCAGTTGGATAGAACATGGACTGGAGATTTGTAAACAACGGACCTGTGAATCAGAGGCACATAGAGTGCCTCTCACACAGTGTCGCTGTGCAGTAGCAACCTGGTATTTATTATGATTATTATGTAGGAACAGAAAAGAGGATGAGGATGCGCAGGAAGGCTCTAACCAAGCGGGATCCAGGATGTGGGCTGATTAAGGGAAGCAGTAGGACACCTAGAAATCAGGAACAGAGACAGACAAGAAGCAAACATGCAGGGTTGTTCTAGAGAAGAGTATCTGAAGAGCCTGCAGAGTTAGGACTAAGGGCAGACACTGAACCATATGTCTAATTGCTACCGTTCACTCTGCCTTTGAGATAAACTCAGAATGGGTGTTTGATGAAGGCAGTCCTCCAGGAAGCAAGGACACTGAAGAAAAGGAGACAGCTGGCACAGGATGCCAGCTGTGGTCCCACTTTGTCATGGTTACTGTCCTGAAAATGGGTTCCCTTCACCATTGTTCTCCTTAGGATTGAAGCAGGAGAATAGGGAGTTTCAAACTGAGATCACAGCCCTTTGGGAAAGTGTTCTTTGAGGTCTTGAATTAACATGTCTCTGACTATAACATCCTGAACACTGCTGTGTTCTCACCAAGATGTATAAATAATGATAAAAATGATAACAAATCATGCCCTGAACACACCGTGGGGACAACTTTACTACATAAGTTATAATGGTGATTCAGAGGGAGGTAGGAATATAAGAAACGTAGCTTATAATCATGTCTTCACGCTTTTCACTGTTTAATAATGAGGCGAGTTTTCTGCACAATGAGCAGTGACTGTGACTGTCATCAAGTTGCGCATACTCAAGCCAGGATAAGCAGCGGTGTGTGACACCCCGGGTCCCCTCACCCCGCAGTGCTCTTGCGCTGTAGCCTCTTCCCTATCAGTTCCCAGAATGGGGCCGTGCGCGTCCCCTCAGGTCAGAGTCAGGATGTGGTGGAAAGGATGATGCATAGCTGGACTCAGGACTCGCCAGATACAGGGAAGTGGAGCCGCTGGAGACCCAGAGCTGATGAGATCATTCTGGTTCCAGTGGGACCAGCTGTCCTCAGGCTGACTTTATCATGATCCCATGAGGACATGATCAGTTATGCCAGAATGACAGGTTAGCTCAGAGAGTGATGGAGGCCGCTTCACTTATTCTGCCAAATCAAGACAACAGGGCACACTGTAAGCTGCCCACATGGCCTCTGCTTTGCTGGCCTTCACATGAAGTGAGCCACCTGGAGGATGCCTTGCAACCAGGGTTCAGCCCTGGGTGTGGGCGGGACTGTGTAATAAGGTCAGGTTACCTTACAGATTCCGGAAAGACTCACACTAACAAAAAGACCCCAAATGACTAATTGCATATTCCTTAAATTACTCACACAAGACAGTGATTTTTAGTTTTGCCAAAATGTCTGTTCATCTAATAGAAAGAAATCTACAAGTCATATACTCCCTTTATGTTGGGACCTCCAAGTGACTGATTCTGATGTTGGATGAGTACACATATAAGTTGTGTCTAAAGTCCTTCCCTTGAATCTGTGAGGACATCATCATCTCAGTTCCTAATCAGAAAGGCAGTCAAATAGAAGGCCTGGGGTTTCCAGGGTAACATGGCCTGGCTCAGTGACTCGGATACACTGACTCGTCTCTGTCTGATAGGAAAGGGCACGCTGACTTTAAAGCTGCTACAGAAATGAAAAAGGATGGTGTAAGTAGTGGTAATGACAGAGAGAGACTGGCTAGTTTCATCTCTTGTCACAGAGTCAGCTGGTTAGAAAGGTGCCTTGCCTCTGTGCCATGGAGTAAAGTTTATACCACACCTTGGTGGTCCCCACCTAATGTGAATGGCTGTGTTGCTGTGCTGATTTTGGGTGTGGTGTCAACACCTACAGGAAGACTATCTGAGCTGCCCAGCCTCAAAGTACCTCTCCGTGATGTCAAAAGGCGAGTGCTGAGCAGCAGGCCTGTGGGTGGGGGTGAACACCTGCAGGGCTCATCCCTTGTCTCCAGGGCTGCAGTGCTGCCTGGAAGACTACACCCAGGAAGGAAGGGGCCAGAAGTTCTGCTCAGTATACAGCTAACTGGTGAAGCAGGATCTTCAAACCCAGCAGGAAAATACAGAGGTTGCCACAGAAGCCTCCTCAAGAGACATAGAAAACTCCTACCTAACAGCATGTTGCAATGAGATTTTTCCCATCCCAGGGTCATGAACAGCTGGCCCCACCCTGGTCCCGGCTAGCACTTGTCCCCATCAGCACAGCTCTGCTCAGGTCCCTGAACTGCCCCTTTTTATTTCTAGAGATAGAAACAAAAACATAGACTTGTAGGAGATGAAGAGGAAGATCAGGAGGAGGGAAGAGAGTAAAGGGGGGATTGAAAATGATCAAGATGTGCAATATACATGTATCAATCTTCCAAAATGAATGTAACTATGAGTCTTGCTAATGTACACTAATGAAAAATGATTTTGAAATCTGTGCCTCACCACCCTCTCCCTCACTCTGGATAACGCCCCATAGGCTTGGTGCAGTGTATGTAGTGACACAGCCGTGACACACTTTGGTGCTCAGGGAAGCCTGTTCAAATTAACTTTCAACAGACGCTGATCATTTTAAACACTTTTAAATGTGAGACTTGATGAGTGGAAGTGGTGCTCTGACCTGTGGTGTGATTCCAGGTCACCTAGGAAAATCCCAGGGTCCAGCCGCCCTGACAGTCTTTCTTGGCCACCATGTGGATGTTTGCTCTTTTCGTGGGTGGCAAAGCATCACCTTCCTTGTTGCAGCCTTCAGAGCCTCGGGCTACTTGCTATCCTATGCAGAGGCCATGTGGATCCATTCTCACTGTGTCTGGGGGAACCTCTGACGGCAGCCTTAGGTCTACTGTGCCTCATTACTTCTGCCATGTCTGACCACAGTAGCTGACACTGCCACTTCTAACCTTCTGCTTCTAAAAGCTCTGTGCTGGGAAACCAGACAGCCCTTTTTATGAGAACTGTGCCCAAAATAGAAGTCAGTGCATCCAAAGGTGCACCTGAGAGTGTCCCCTGAGAGAGGAATGCAGGACCTACGGTATGGGTTTGTGGTCTCTACTTAAATTCAGTCTCTTTTCTGCTCATTTCCTCTTTCTCAGCTTACTTTAGGGGAAGATATTATAGATAGGAGATCTCCAGGCAAGTGAAGGCTCAGAAGACATCATGCAAGATTAAAGCAAATGCCTCTGCTATCATCTTATCAACGGAGTAACATAAACACGTTAATCCCCAAGAGTGAAACTGCTTCCTTACATTTGTCACTTTCACTTGGAAGATGGTGTTAAGACAATATCTTCTGATGAAATACAGCAGCATCGGGCATTCTTTAGAGCAGACCCGTAAGTGGGTTGGTTCATTCGTATCCTCTGATAGATTTGTCTATCATATGCAGCTGGCACTGGACTCATCCATCTCACACTCCTCAGCCTGTTTGTGAGCCCTCTCTAGCTCTTCTCTCTGTCTACCCACGGCTGCACTCTGTTCTGTGTTCACTGACCACCCAGTGCCTGGTTCTGCTGCCCAGCTGCAGCCCCAGAATGAGAAGAATGCCAATGTTTGGTTTTCATTTGTAGGTTTTTACCTCTACTTACAGCTTGGAGAGATGGTTTCTTCTTGAAAGATGGCTATACTTTCCATTAGATTCTTTTCAAATGTTTCCAGAGTTCTTAGCAAAGGCTGGTTTCAAGTGTGCTAAAGCTCACAATCAATGTCTATATAGGTTAGGAAGAGAAAGAGTCCTCCAGACAGACTCTGGAATTTGAACAGTATGGACTCAGTTTCCTCCACTGCCACACACTGAGATAGTGACTTCGTCTCTTTAAACCTTTAAAATAGTATTGTCATCTGAATTACATAAAATGACTTCCACAAAGCCTCTGGAATAATGCCAGGCATACAACAGACTCACTTTAAGTGAGCAGTTTTTCCTCTCTCTCCATGACCAAAGGAATGTAAATAAATAAATGTTCATTCAGTCTACGTAGAGCCCAAAATAAAAACTTCTGCAAAATTCTTTTACCTCAAAGCATACAATTTATAAAGACAACAGAGACACAATATAAAACAAAAGTTTACCTATAAAGAAGTAGATTTCTCCTGTACTTCACAAAGCAAAGCCCATAGAATTTTTCTCTTAAATTTTAGATTCTTGAAGTCTTCTAATTCTTGTCATCAGGTGAAGACTAAACTTCAAGACAAAACAAAAAAACTTACCTGTAAAGAAGCAGATTTCTGCTCTTCTCCACAGAGGCCACGGAATTTTTCTCTTAAATTTCAGATTCCTGTCATCAGGGTGAAGGCACAGACCCTCCTTGCGTGGACT